ATCTTGCCTTTAATGTGGTTCTGATAAGGCAGCTTTGTTTGCAGCAAAAATTCTTCCACATTTTAATTTTCAAGCAAGAAGACCAGACATTTTGCTCTCTTTTATTGTGGCCTATTGACCAGTGTTAGCTAACTTCTATTAATAGTCACAGGCTTGAGAATCTAGTATTTTTAATTGTTGGGTTGTATCTGTCATTTAACACTTTGCATGATTCTTTCCCCCCCTCCCCCCACTCTCTCATTCTCTTTTCTGGCCAGATTGATTGATTGATTGATAATTTACATACAGTAAAATTTACCTTTTGTTTCACTGACCCATTCTTTGGATTCTAACAAATGCATAGTCATGTAACACCACCATGATGGAGGCATAGAACATTTTAATCATTCCAGCAGGTTTTCTCATGACTGTTTGTAGTTAGTTCCTTTCCCCCAAATCCCAGAAATGACTGGTTTGCTCTCTGTCCCTATAGTTTATCTTTTCTGGAACGTTCTACAAATGGAGTCATGTTATGTAGCTGTTAGAGTCTTGCTTCTTTCACTTAGCATAACACATTTGAGATCCATTCATGTTGCTGTATATGTCAGTTCATTGTGTGATGGACCACAATTTTTATCCATGACCTGGCTGAAAACCACTTGCTTTTAGTTTTTGATACATCTAAGTAAAGCCACTAAAACACTTACATTTAGATTTTTAGGTGGATATGTAGTTTCATTTTTCTTGAGTACATACCTGGGTAGGATTCCTGGGTTGTATGGTAAGTGTATGTTTAACTTTATTAAAAAAAAACTGCCGAATGGTTTTCTAAAGTGACTACCTACCATTTTACCTTTCTCTGAGCAGTGTGTGAGACATTAGTTGCTCTACTCCTTGTAAGCACTTGATAAAGTAAACTTTCATTATTATTATTTAAGAATTTTTAACTTCTAATAGGTGTGTAGAGGATTCTCATTGTGGTTTTAATTTGTATTTTCCTAATGACTAATAATGTTGATCATCTTTTTCAAGTGATTGTTATTTAGTTGTGAGAGAAATTAAATATATTCCGATTGCTGTCAAATATGTCTTTTTTTTTTTGCGGTACGCGGGCCTCTCACTGTTGTGGCCTCTCCCGTTGCGGAGCACAGGCTCCGGACGCGCAGGCTCAGCGGCCATGGCTCACGGGCCCAGCCGCTCCGCGGCATGTGGGATCTTCCCGGACCAGGGCATGAACCCGTGTTCCCTGCATCGGCAGGCGGACTCTTCAACCACTGCGCCACCAGGGAAGCCCTCAAATATGTCTTTTGCAGATATTTTCCTCTAGTTCATTGCTTGTCTTTTCGTTTTTTTATGTGTCTCTTGAAGACTAGATTTTTAATTTTGATATGTCCAGTTAATTAATTGTTTCTTTCATGGTTTGTGCTTTTTTGCATTCTATCTTAAGAAATATTTTCCTAGGGGACTTCCCTGGCGATCCAGTGGTTAAGACTCTGTACTTCCAATGCAGGGGGCGCGTGTTCGTTTCCTGGTCAGGAGACTTAAGCTCCCACATTCCTCACGGTGTGGCCAAAAAAAAAGAAATATTTGCCTAACCTGATGTCACAAAGATTATCTATTTTGTTTTTCTTCTGGAAGTTGTATTATTTTAGCTTTTACATTTAGGTCTATGATCCATTTTGAGTTAGTTACTTTTTGTATATTGTACAATGTCCAAGTCGAGTTTCTTTTTTTTAAATTTGGATGTCCTGTTGTTCTAGTATACCCGGTTTCTTGTATAAATCTTTCATCAATATTAGGATAAGAAAGCAGCCCCATTGGTTTTAAACAAGAGATGTTTGGTGCCTCTTCCACAAAGTACTCTTACATCCTGTTTTAACTCCCCCTCTGCTTGATTTTTAGTTAATATTTTGTCATGTATTTGGTTTAAAATTTAAGGCCTTTTTCTTATTAAGACAGGAGGAATCTAGGTCACTGGAATTTCTTAGGTAGAAATTAAAATGACACCTGGGTCTTTTTTCCCCATCCTCCAATAGTTTACTCTTTAACCTTCACTTTGGCAGGGGTTATGGTTATTTTTAGAGTACAGGCAGTAGAGCTAATCTAATTAAACTCCCCCAGCTACCTGGGGCAGTGAGCTCATCAGCTCTTCCAAGCTCAGATTGGTTTGCTCTGGACTGGATTTTACATGGAAATTGATCAAGGTAAAAACAGTGGATTTGTTGGGAATGGAGTGCATTAAAGAGTGAAGAAGGTAATTTAAGTTTGGGATCAGATATGGTCCCTACCTCAGATTTATAAGGTTGTATTCTTTGGTGATGGAAGAAATTCTAGAGTGACTCCTGTACTTAAGACCTAGGGCACAGTCATAGCACCTTAGCCTGCTTTAATTTGGGCACTTACTCTAATTTCTACCCCAGAATTGAGATGGTTTTAAGTTTCTTCATTTTGACAGACATTTATATGATAACAACTCATCCCCAAAGTAATTGTATTTTATCAGTGTCATCGAAGTTTCTTGGCTTTTTAGAGACGTGATCCCCGAAAATGGGAATGTATGTACTCCAAGGGATATGGAAGATGATCCAGTGGTGTATAGGGAGGGAATGTTGAAATTTTAAGTTTTTTCTAGAAAAATCAAGCTTAATGTTTAATGTGAATTGATTAAATGTGGGTTCATGCTCAGAGTTTTCACTGATAGAAGTTCATAATCAGTTTTGAGATCACTGCTCTAAGAGTGTCCTTCTGCAGAAGTTTTAACATATAATTTTGTTTAACTGTACCATCTCTGGAATTACTAATACTGTTTTACAAAAGAAGAAAATGAAGCCCAGAGAAGATTAAGCAGCACATCCAAGGTCACATCACAAAGTTTGTTAATAACTTAGCTAGTACTAGAACCCTGGACTTCCAATTTTCAGCCTAGGACTACTTATACTAAACTCTGTGGCCCCTAAAATGTGACTTTTAGAAGCTCTCTGCCTATCAGCTTGGTGATTAAACAGAGTTGACATAAGCATTCATAGGTTTTGTTCTGTTTCTGAATTTAGGAATAAATTCTGTGAACTTTTTTCCTCAAAGAAAAGATCGCTTCTTGCAAGAACCTTAAACCAGTGTCCCAGAAGATGAGCTTTACAACCTCTGGGTATAGGTTCAACCTCATGGCTCTCCTTTTCTGAGAAGTGGTTCTCAGAGCTAGGTAAGCATTAGGCATTTGGCACCTCCTGCCTAGCAAATGTGTTTTCTAGAGCCACTATGAGTCTAAAGTTCAGGCAGTCTGGGCTTCTGTAGAAGTTGATGAGATTCAGTTTTGAGAAAGGGTCTCTGGAGCTGCTCAATACTTCTTCTCTAGGAGTGGATAACAGTGAGATGGGAAGTATGGTGTGGTTGACAGTCTTGATTCTGGAGGTGAGAAGGCATCAGTTCTCTTCTCAGTTGACCATAAGGTATGCTTATGACCTTAGTTTTAAATCTTAAAGTTGTTTTCCCTGCTTCATAGAACTTTTGCAATTAATGTAATTAATTTAAACCCTAGGTGAAGAGGAAGATATTGCTGAGCTACTGAAGAATATAAACAGGGACTACTGAGAGGAAAAAAACAAGTGTTGTGTGAGCAGTGCTGTACAAAAATACATCATTGAAGTAGGAGGATGAAAACAGCCTGCTCTGCAAACAGCTCTTCACTGTTTTTCTTTATGTGGCTTCACAAATCTGTTTTTTGTTGGCATTGTCTTTCATCATCACCCTTCCAGGTGTCCCTCCCTCAAATTCAGCCTCAGTCCTGCTCTTGCATTATTTCTACTCACCCACCCTGGCCTAACGTGAGCAAGCTTTGGGCAGCTGTCTCTTGGCAGAGGGCACTTTAAAAAAATTTTTTGAAGCAACTTGGATTTTTGTAGAGGAGAGAAGCGGGTAAAGATAAGGATGGGGCTGCTTCTGGGATAATTGTTATGGGAATGAAAGGACTGTTGAAAGATTAGAGGCCAGTGTGCCTGGGTACAAGGACTGGAGTCATAATCATACTTTGTCTTTTCAGTGCCTTTTGTCCAAGGCACTGAAAGGGCTTAACAAAATTCTGGTCTGAATAATATTATTCTTTGCTCTTTGGACTTTGCTTGAGGTGGGAGTGAGGCCCTGAAAAAATAATGACTGTATTATAGTGGTATAAAAGGAATAAAGCTAGGTACCCCGACTCCTAGTTAGGGCTTTGCTAAACAGACAAACCTGGTGAAAGTTGGTGGAACTAGGTGAAATAGTGCTTGCCATTTTATGAAATGGACTGAGATGGTTTTAATGGAAATGTTGCACTTTCTTTTCCAGCTTTGCACTTGGTGACTGACTTACTAGTCATAAAAGGGAAGAAAAAACCTTTTAGGTTCTTTTTTAGGGGTAGGATACTCCTGAGTTCTAATTTGACTCTGCTTCTTATAATCCTTAGTTAATATCTGTGCCTGTATGTTTGAAGCTGGGCATCTGAATGACCATAAAGCTCAGGCTGTTATCCCAAGAGCTCAATTTCTTTTATCTCTGCTGTTCTGTGTGTGAAATGATATTCAGAGTCTGACCTTCCTCTTCATGTTGTGAAGGCAAGTGTTTCATAGAGTTTGTGGATACATACGATGATTATTTACAACAGAAAGTTTTTGCCTTAGAGGGTAGTGCTGAAGCTAGCTTTTTGAATTAAGACTCTGCTTGCTTGCAATACATGTCACTTGATATAGACCTGCTGTTCCAGGATTTATTTCAGTTCCTTCTTTCCCATCTGAAAAATCACTGCCAGTTACTCAGTGAGAAGAAATGGCAGTTAGCCTCCCAAAGATATGTCTCTTTATGGAATTTAGACATGGGGGGATAATATCTGGCATAATTTTCAGCAGCTGAGAAGCCCTGCTGAGAACACACAAAAAAATCAATTTTGTAAAAATGACAAAGGCTGTACATTGTTAAATCTCCTGGTGCCTTTTATCATCTTTCCCAGATTGTTTCCTAATTGTTTCATTTTCTTACTCTTCTCGATCCAGGCTGGCTGCAGTAAACATCATTCAAGATGTCCAGCAAAGGGAGCAGCACAGATGGCAAAACAGACTTAGCTAATGGTAAGGGGCCATAATGAAGGTGAAGCTATTTTTGCTATCGACTGAGGTTCTCCTCCTCCCGCAAAGAGAGTGGAGACTTGGATTTTAGCGGAGGGAAGGAAATCTTTCCTAAGAATGAACTCTTGGAGGTAGACGCAAGAGGGAAGAGATACGGGAACATATGTATATGTATAACTGATTCACTTTGTTATAAAGCAGAAACTAACACACCATTGTAAAGCAATTATACTCCAATAAAGATGTTAAAAAAAAAAAAAAAAAGAATGAACTCTTCCTGTGTTGTTTTGAGTGTAGGAAACACCTTGGACTACCTGGTACTTTTGCTCCTTCAGCTTTTATCTGATTGTTTTCAGAAGATCAATAATAGAGTTGTCCCTCTAAGAGGTCAAGTGGTTTGGAATTTTGTAAGGGTGGACAAAACCTAGGAGATGCTGTTAATAAAGGAGAAAAAGAAGATCCAATTGGTGGTGGAACCAAGGGAGTTGTTGGGAAGGCAAGGCTCCCCAGTTATAAGGAGAGGTCTCTTTTCACAGTAGATCATAGTTCAGTAGAGATAATTAGATAAGAGATGAAGTTATAAATAGCTGCAGTTGGGGCTTTTTTCTTTCTTTTTCTTTTCTTCTCTTTCTTCCTTTTTTTCCTTTCCTTCCTTCCTTTCTTTCTTTCCCTCCCTCCTTCCCTCCCTTCCTCCTTCCCTCCCTCCCTCCCTGCTTCCTTTCCTTCCTTCCACCAGTGCTACCAAGTATTAAATCACTGGGTCTACTGCAGATTTGAAGGCAGAATATCATGATTCTGGTAGAGTATAGCTACTACCTGGGTTGTTTGACCAGTGCATCCACTCTGAGCCAACTTCCAAACTAGAGAAGGTCCTTCAAATGGATATAGTTGGGCAGTATAGTGTTCAGCATTCCTCAGCACCTTGTAGTTTTAAGATTATCGTCTAAATTCTAGTTGACGTGTTTGGTAGAGCAATGTAGTGAGTAAGGGAAAGGGAGATTTTCAGCATGATGTTTTACTGCCCCTTTGTTCTTTTCTTACCACTGGTGTTCATTTATCTTCTCTAAAGGAGAGTGATTCAGATTTTTCACTAGGCTTAGTTGAAAGGCACAGGATTCTAGAGGGGTTGGAGGTATACAATTGATTTGGAGTTTGGCCATTAGCTAGATCAGGGATTGGCAAATTATGGCCTGCAGGCTAAATCCACAGGCCTGCAGGCTGCTGTTTTTGTAGTTTACTGGAACTCAGTCATGCTGCATTTATTTACCTAGTATTTATGGTTACTTTTGTGCTGCAGCAGTGGAGTTGAGTAGTTGTGCCATACATCCATACGGTCCAAAGTTTAGAAGCCTAAACTTTTTATTATCTGGCCCTTTACAGAAAAAATTTGCCAACCCCTAGCTATTATCTTGGTCATTGACTGTTAGTGTCCTCTTGCTGAGCTTGCGATATGCTCTGGCCCTTATCTTAATGTGGTAGGGCCCCCAAAGTCATCTTAATTTTAACAATAAATGCTAGGAGTTTTGATGTTTCATTTTTTTTTCTTCTTCACAGAAGTGATGGGTGTGATATTTTATCCCTTCTCACCACTCCCAATCTCAAACTCAATTTCATTTCAAAAACCACAATTATTAATCTTTCTCAGCATATACAGCAGCCTCAGCAAATGTAGTTCCTGGGAGCAAATTGCTGCACTTTTCCCCTTTTTCTTCCAGTTCCTAGTCGTTTTGACACTGTGCTCTTAGTTGAGGTGCTATTTGAAAAGAGCTGTTTGTGTGTGTCTCCCAACCTTCTGTCACTACTTGAACCAAAAAGTGTGTGTATTGTTTATCTGTTTTCTTTATTGGGCTTTGCCTAAGAGTTCATTGAAAAGAGGTTCCATTGCTTCAAAGATCTTCAGAAATTATTGCTCTAATCCAGATGACTAAGCAAGAAGATATTCCCATTTTGAATCCTTAAACATCAATGTGGTATTGGAGTTGAATAGCTTATACCAGTCACACATAGCTGGTCAGCCTTTCCTACCTAATAGCCTTTACTTCTGGCAAGATAAAATTTATTGTCATCTGAGGAAAGGAGGCCATGAGCAGGTTTAAAATCCTCATTCACCCCCTTCCTTTCTTTACATCTTGACCTTAGTTTGGAAGTTGTGGTCCTTTTGGCCCTAGATAATTGCCAAAGTGCTCACTAGAATATGATTTGGCTGTTAGATAGGAGAATTCGGTATCTAATTTTGGGGATTATATTGCTCAAAGTGACCCAGTTATTTTATAACTACCAATATGGCAGACCTAGAATATGAACTTTTCTTTTCAGGTCCTGCTGTAGTAGCCCTGCTTTTTATCAATTTTATTTATGCTTCCTGATAAAACTTTGTCTCACTAGAATTCCTATATCTAAAACTAGTAATACGATTATTAAATTAATGGAAGTAAGGCAGAATACATTTATCAGCAAAAAAGAGAGCAAGAAGCCACTCAAATGGTCACAATTTCCACTTGTCCCTTGCACTTCCTTCTGGATCCTTGGGGGAAGAAACTGTAGGGTTTAAGAGGTGGGAGGTAGTGGTGCTTTCTCGAAGTGGTAAATAGTCCAACTTTTGCTGGGGATGGCTGTTCTTTTTTAATTTATTTATTTTTATTTATGGCTGCGTTGGGTATTTGTTGCCGCGTGCGGGCTTTTCTCCAGGTGTGGCGAGCAGGGGCTGCTGTTCGTTGCGGCACACGGGCTTCTCATTGGGTGGCTTCTCTTGTTGCAGAGCATGGGCTCTAGGCGCACGGGCTTCAGTAGTTGCGGTGTGCGGGCTTGGTAGTTGTGGCTTGCGGGCTCTGGAGCGCAGGCTCAGTAGTTGCGGCACAAGGGCTTAGTTGCTACGCGGCATGTGGGATCTTCCTGGTCCAGGGCTTGAACCCGTGTCCCCTGCATTCGCAAGCGGATTCTTAACCACTGTGCCATCAGGGAAGCTCAGGGATGGCTGTTCTTTTTTCTTATGTTCAGCTTAATTATGTGCTATAACTAATGGATGCCCATCTAGCAAAATAGAGCCTAAGGTAGTTGTATCAGGCATACTTTTATAAAATCTGCCAGTGCTTTGCTTCTTGAGAATTTATTATAATCTTTGGTTGTCCTGCAGTTCTTTATTTGTGTGTGACTTTGGTTTTAATCTTTTCAAGATTCCCTCTCAGAAGGTACTGTTTATAAGCATATGTAATGAAAACATTTTGACCAAAGTTGGTTTCTGGGTCTTTTGGTGTGATGATTTTTTAGACTAAGGAGTGGGAATCCTTCTGGTCACTATCTTATTTCCTTATTTTTCCCCCTCACCTACCCATTCCTCACTAACATGCAGGAAGCCTGTCTAGCAGTCCAGAGGAGATGTCTGGTGCTGAGGAGGGGAGGGAGACATCCTCAGGCATTGAAGTGGAGGCCTCAGACCTGAGCTTGAGCTTGACCGGGGATGATGGTGGCCCCAACCGCACCAGCACAGAAAGTCGAGGCACAGATACAGAGAGCTCAGGTGAAGACAAGGACTCTGACAGCATGGAGGACACTGGCCATTACTCCATCAATGATGAAAACCAAGTCCATGACCGCTCAGAGGAAGAAGAGGATGAAGAAGAGGAGGAAGAAGAGCATCCTCGTCGTCGTGTACAGCGCAAGCGGGCAAACCGTGACCAGGACTCATCAGATGATGAGCGGGCCCTGGAGGACTGGGTGTCCTCGGAGACCTCAGTCCTGCCCCGACCTCGCTGGCAAGCCCTTCCTGCCCTTCGGGAGCGGGAGCTGGGTTCAAGTGCCCGCTTTGTGTATGAGGCTTGTGGGGCGAGAGTCTTTGTGCAGCGTTTCCGCCTGCAGCACGGGCTTGAGGGCCATACTGGTTGTGTTAATACCCTGCACTTTAACCAGCGCGGCACCTGGCTGGCCAGTGGCAGCGATGACCTGAAGGTGGTGGTTTGGGACTGGGTACGGCGACAGCCAGTATTGGACTTTGAGAGCGGCCACAAAAGCAATGTCTTCCAGGTGAGGCGAGGGAGCAGATTGGCAACTGAGAAAATCAGGCACGAGTTAGACAAACCTGAGCTGCTGCCTGGAGTAGGAGTGATAGTGAGTTGTGGTAGGATTTAGGTATCAGGACTCGGTCCTTCCTTGGCTCCCATAATGACTTAGAGGAGTTAAATACACTGAAAGACTCATGGCACCCTGTTGTTTCCTTGAGCACAGAGACTGTTAGAAGCCTCATTATAATAGAAAGGGTGCTTGGAAATCATCAGGAAGGCACTAAGTGCCGTGCTAGGAGGCGTTATAATACAAGAGCAGAGGCTCTTGAACCAATCTAGTTGAGTTTAAATCTTGGTCCAACCCCTTAACTAGCTATGTGATCTTGGGCAAGTTTATTTAACCTCTGTCTTCAGTTTATTTACCTATAGTATAGGGCTAATAACATACAGGATTATGAGGATTAAATAACAGTAGAAGCTAAGCAGTTAGAACCGTGCCTGGTACTTAATAAACGTTTGATAAATATTGTTAATATTGTTATTCTCTGGAAGTTTTACTTACCAGCCCCATCCATCATATGGTACTAGCCATTTATCCCTAAGCATGTTCTCTTTCCTTCCCCAATATCCCCTCTAGTTTCCTTTTTCTTTGTAGCAAGTTTATGTTTACTTCCTGAGTCAAGGAAGATTTTCTCCTTTTTCCCTTACCTTTCTTTCTTACTGGGTATAGTCCTAGTTCACCTGAGCACTCATACCAGTTCAGCCTTCTAGAAGCAACAGAAATCCTCTCATATCAGAAATTTTTTCTTTTCCTCTCCTTTAACCCTTGGAAGAAATTGGACTTGAGCCAACTGTATAAGAGCAGGAGGTCTCAGTTTCCAGCTGTTGTGTAGCAAAAGTGGATGATTTGGGGTTGTCATCATGTTTTTCCCTCTCAAATTCACCTCTTCAATTTCTCTTGTCCCTTTTTTTTATTCTTAACATCCCAGGCCAAGTTCCTTCCTAACAGTGGTGATTCCACCCTGGCCATGTGTGCCCGTGATGGGCAGGTTCGGGTAGCAGAGTTGTCTGCTACACAGTGCTGCAAGAATACAAAGCGTGTGGCCCAGCACAAGGGAGCATCCCACAAGGTAAGTAAGCCCTTGCCCCAAAGGTTGTGCAGTTCAGCTCCTCTGTGGATCTCAGCCAAAGCCCTCCAGTATCTCTGTCCATTGTGTCCCCTTTGTTGTGGTCACCTCCATCACTTCTTTCAGTCCTAGGATTTGTAGGTAAGATGGGAGAAAAAGCAGCCACACTAAACTTCTCAGAAGGCAAGTATTTGAGAGATCTCTAGATCTTGCACATGCAACATTCACCTGATAATACTTAACTCCTAAGCTGAGCCATGGTTGGTTTGGAGATCCTTGAGGTCTCCTGTGCCTTCCAAACCTTTAAAATTTACTCCTATTGTATTTAGAACATTTTAACAGCTCTAAGGTGCTAGCTGTTGGCTTCTCATATGTGAGAGCTCCAGCTTTTCTGCTCACAACTCTCAGTGCATAAACAGTACTATTTCTGGAAGCCCTATTTAGAGCTGGGAATATAGGCCAAATAATCATGATGGCAGCCAGTGAGGAGCCAAGAACTGCCTAGTCTCAGAGTAGGCACTGTTTTCTTCCATGCCGTGGAAGGAGGATGGTCCTCTTTTTTTTTTTTTTTTTTTTTAACAAACCCTAAGCAAATATGTAGGTGGACCTGGAGTATGCTTTCCTCCCCCATGGCTCAAGAAATATGAAAATTACTATTTCTTTGATTCTTAAGACTACCCCCAACCCACTAGATAACTAACTTTTAGAACTAAGCTGTAGGGAATGAAACTTGGGTGCCATTTCTCTTCCCACCTGAGAGTGTGGAATTGATTTTGAGGATGAGCCCTAATGGCGGTGTTTTCCTTTGGTATCACTGTTCAGATCCCTTGGAGACTTAATTAAAATAGCAAATCACCTGTCCTTTTGACTTGTATAGAATAAACAAGCTGTGAATAATTCACACAGAGCAAGAGAGAATGGGCTTATTAAATTATCTTCTTTCCTGGGATTTTACAACAAAAAAGGCAGACGTTTCTCTTGCTGAGACATTTTAAATGCAGCCCTTTGTAAAGATAAAGGAATGAGTTAGACAACCTCTAATTTTAATCTTTAGAAACCTCATGCTTTCCCTTTTTTCTCCTTCAGTTGGCCCTGGAACCAGACTCTCCCTGTACGTTCCTATCTGCAGGTGAAGATGCAGTTGTCTTCACCATTGACCTCAGACAAGACCGGCCAGCTTCGTAAGTATAGCAATAGTATTTTTACAGAACTGGATTTCTTGGCTTTGAAAATATTGCATGTGTCCTAGGTAATGCTCAACTCTCTGGTCCATCAGAATGGTTCCTTTGTATTTATGATAAGAAACAGATGAGTTTAGGGCAATTCCTTATTTCTTTGTTGTTGTCTCTTTCTCAGCAGTAAAATACTATTCGCCTGTCTTCATTTCTAAAGCAGGGTTCAGTTATCTTATTATATGTGGGCTTTAATAACTGGATGATCTTCCACTCTCCATTCACTTGGGTGCCACTCAGCTTCCCCACAAGAAGCATGTTCCTAGCAACTTAGAGATATGCTCCTATGTAGTTTTCACTTCAATTTTGTGTAGAAATGTAAAAATTAAATGATAATTCTTGAACAAAAATATTGGTAATTGTAGTAGAACTCTATCATATCACAGCTCATTTTTACTTGAATCAGAGATTCATAGGTAAATTATATCCCCTTTTAGCTATGTGATATCATAGAAAGAGTATAGCATCTTATTTGGATCCAGGCAGACCTAGATCAAATCTCAACTTGGGCACTACTAGTAATGACCTATATAACCTTTCTGAACTTCAGTTTCTTCAGCCTCACTATGGGTATAATCAGTCAGTCTTATTCTCTCTTTTTCTCGTTTCTGTGAGGATTATTGATAAATGTGTTTGATACCTCAGCATAGTGTCTGGCACCATGGTTGGAACTTATTGAATTGTAGCTACTAATTATTTCAGTTTTCTTTTTTCATTTTTATTGCTCTTATAATAAACAAATATATCTTGTTTTAAAAACTCAAATAATGAAGTATATGGACAAAATGTAAATGCTCCCTCATGTATACCTCCCCTGCCCACCACTTTTCTAGCTATTGATAACCATTGTTAAAAATTTTGAATACCTTTTCAATCCTTTTTGTATACATTTATGTGTCTTACTATATACATGTACACTCTTCCCTCCAACATGGGATAATTGTACGTGTATATAAACTTACATACACATATGTTCCTGCAATTTACTTTTTTCACATTATGATGTATTTTGGAGAGCTTTCTACATCAGACCAAAAAGGCCTACCTAATTTTTTCTTTGTAAACATTTTATTTATTTTTATGTGGACCATTTTTAAAGTCTTTATTGAATTTGTTGCAGTGTTGCTTCTGTTTTATGTTTTGGTTTTTTGGCCAAGAGGCATGTGGGATCTTAGCTCCCTGACCAGGGATTGAACCCATGCCCCCTGCGTTGGAAGGCAAAGTCTTAATTAACTATGGACCGCCAGGGAAGTCCCTATGGCCTACCTCAATTTTAACCATGACATCTGTGTTATAGCATTGGTGTACCACAGTTTGTTTAACGACTGCCTAGTTGATAGATTATCTACATTATTTATTGTATTGTTAGTCTTAAAAACTATCTTTTTTTTTTTTTTAATATGCCATTCTGGAAGTTTATTCTAGGATCACAAAGTGAGGAAGAACTCAAGATTTCAACTTTTCAGAACTCTCCCCCCTTAAAAATTATCTTAAATCTTACATGTCAATACCAATATTGAGTAAGGGGTGTCCCTAATTTATATAGCATACAAGTAAAATATAAGTTGATATAGGGAATATAATCTTAAGGCTGATTATTATTAGACTTTTATTTTTAGAGAGATAAGTATACAAAAAGTTGTCTAGAAAGTGAAGAATTTAAAATAGTGGTTAAAGGATGGAAATGTTTTTGGCTTGTGGAAAGGATATACTGGTTATTTATATAAAACTTAAGAGGATGAAGATTGAGAGATAATGAATGGATTTCTCCTGGAAAGCGAACAGGCCTGGGTGACAAGGGATCTGCCTTCTAGTACTAGCCTGCAGTTATATAGCTTTGAGAAAATCATTTAATCTCTTAAACTGAATGATGTTTGTTATTTTCAGTTCTCAAGTTCCATGATCCTGTGCTGATAATGGAACATCAGCAAGTTTTCCAGAGGGGAGTGGAAGGGCAAAGATGGAAAAAATGATATGAGTTTGTTTGGTCTGCTCTGGTACAGTGTTGTGAAGCTGAATGAGATCCTGTGGATCAGGTTCAGAGGAAAACTACTGTTAGGCCACAAGAAATTGGGAATCCGGTTCAAGTAATGGGCAGAGTACGTGACTGGCAGATTATTGAATGTGTAATGAAAAGGTGTAAGCAGAAAATCTGGCTGAGAGTTGATCAGTGGATCTAGGTGCAAGCAGTAATAGGTGGGATAGAAACTAAAAGGGGGAACATAGGAGAAACTTAGAGTAGGAGGAGGTCCAGATTCTGGCCTTAAGAAAGTTTTTGCTTTAGGGGTTGAATTAGTGGAAGGCTAGAATGAGGACTGAATGTGAAGGTCATGGCTAGAATGTGTATCCGTATGTGTTAAGCTGGTGCCTGAACATCTGCTTATATCAGAGACACTTTTTTGTGTGAAGTTGGCATAGGGGAATTTTTCTTTTGTATGTACATAATAGCTGAGATTCTGGAATCTGGTGATATTGGCTAACATCATAGGAGGAGTTGGATTTGGAGCTGTGGGTGGGATATTCATTTAGCCAGCGGAAGCTAGTTTGAGATATTCTTCAGAGGAATCCGTTGGTTTGATCTGTAATTGTTTTTCCCTTTTTCCTGGAACATACCAGCCCGCTAAAGACTGCAAATTTTAAGGCAGAATTTGGTAAATTTGTTTCATATGGCTTTGTGTGCTGCCTTGCTCTGGTGTCAAAACTTTTTTTTTCCTGCTGCCATTATCAGTCTTTTTTTTTTTTTTTTTTTTTGGGGTACGCAGGCCTCTCACTGTTGTGGCCTCTCCCGTTGCGGGGCACAGGTTCCGGACGCACAGGCTCAGCGGCCATGGCTCACGGGCCCAGCCGCTCTGCGGCATGTGGGATCTTCCTGGACCGGGGCACGAACCCGTGTCCCCTGCATCAGCAGGCGGACTCTCAACCACTGTGCCACCAGGGAAGCCCTATCAATCATTTTTATAGCACCTCTGCATTTTCCCCATAGGGCTCAAGGTGCTCTGTGCATTTATGCATTAGGAGAGAGAATTGTTTGTTTTAGGTGAATAAATGGAGGCATAGAAAATTGAGTTCTTTGTCAGGATTAGATGACAGTGGAGCCAGTACTTCATAATCTATCCCCTCACTTTCTTCATTTTGCTTCTGCATGGTAACTGTTATGTTTGTCTGACCCTCTCCTAAAAATCCAAATTGCTGAGGAAATGAGATGTTTCTCTGAAAAAGAGCAGCAGCTGCTCCTATTCCTCTTCTATATCTAAAGCCCAGATTAGAGCTGCCTCTTCTCCATTGCTAGTTTTGTTCCTGAAACTTTTTTTTGACTTGTTTTCTGCCTTGTGTTTTGGGTATGTGTGTATTTGTGTTTTCCCTAATGACATTTATTTTTAATGACCTTTGTACACTATTCTTTTAACGGAAGGCTGCAGAGATTTTAAAATTAAATTTCTCCTTTGCCTAGAGCAGTCTAGGATGGAGTGACTTTGACCATTCAGAGAGGATGCTAACATCATTTACAAAGAAACTTATTGTCATAGTTATAGTTCTTTTCATTTTCTGTAAGCACCAGAAATGAGCAAAAGCTTAGAATTAAAAATGAAAGCTGTTATTCATAATCGCCAAAACTTGGAAGCAACCAAGATGTACTTCAGTAGGTGAATGGATATACTGTGGTATATCCAGATAATGGAATATTATTCAGCAGTTAAAAAAAAAAAAAAAAAAAAGCAAGCAAGCTAAAGCCCAGTCCCTTCCTTTCCTGTCTTCCTTTTTCTATAAATTTACTAATGTTTATGATGTCATATTTGACAGGATGAACGCTTCAATCTGGGAGGAGTATTAATAGGGCCACCCTTAAGGTGGGACAAAATTATGGCTCTTTGGCCAAAATCTTCTGGCTAAAACTCTGAAATTTTAAAGGTTTCCTCGGGGTCCCATGCCCTCCTAAGAATCACCCTTTTTTGTGGTACAACCAGAAGAATACTTTAGAAATAATTTTTCAGCATTAAAAACAGCTGTCTTGACAAGAACCTCTGCTCCTAATATGCTTCAAATAAGGGAAGACTAATACTGTTTTCCTTTGTATTAACCGTTGCTTGTTGTTTTTCATCGTGCATTATTAAAGCTGGGTTTTATTTTTTTTTTATTTTATTTTTTTTTAACATCTTTATTGGAGTATAATTGCTTTACAATGGTATGTTAGTTTCAGCTTCACAACAAAATGAATCAGTTATATATATACATATATTCCCATATCTCTTCCCGCTTGCGTCTCCCTCCCTCCCACCCTCCCTATCCCACCCCACCAGGCGGTCACAAAGCACCGAGCTGATCTCCCTGTGTTATGTGGCTGCTTCCCACTAGCTATCTACCTTACGTTTGGTAGTGTATATATGTCCATGCCTCTTTATCGCTTTGTCACCGTTTACCCTTCCCCCTCCCGACATAGCCTCAAGTCCATTCTCTAGTAAGTCTGTGTCTTTATTCCTGTTTCACCCCCAGGTTCTTCATGACATTTTTTTTTTCCTAAATTCCATATATATGTGTTAGCATACAGTATTTGTCTCTCTCTTTCTGACTTACTTCACTCTGTATGACAGACTCTAGGTCTATCCACCTCATTACAAATAGCTCAATTTCGTCTCTTTTTATGGCTGAGTAATATTCCATTGTATATATGTGCCACATCTTCTTTATCCATTCATCCGATGATGGACACTTAGGTTGTTTCCATCTCTGGGCTATTGTAAATAGAGCTGCAATGAACATTTTGGTACATGACTCTTTTTGAATTATGGTTTTCTCAGGGTATATGCCCAGTAGTGGGATTGCTGGGTCATATGGTAGTTCTATTTGTAGCTTTTTAAGGAACCTCCATACTGTTCTCCACAGTGGCTGTATCAATTTACATTCCCACCAACAGTGTAAGAGGGTTCCCTTTTCTCCACACCCTCTCCAGCATTTATTGTTTCTAGATTTTTTGATGATGGCCATTCTGACTGGTGTGAGATGATATCTCATTGTAGTTTTGATTTGCATTTCTCTAATGATTAGTGATGTTGAGCATTCTTTCATGTGTTTGTTGGCACTCTGTATATCTTCTTTGGAGAAATGTCTATTTAGGTCTTCTGCCCATTTTTGGATTGGGTTGTTTGTTTTTTTGTTATTAAGCTGCATGAGCTGCTTATAAATTTTGGAGATTAATCCTTTGTCAGTTGCTTCATTTGCAAATATTTTCTCCCATTCTGAGGGTTGTCTTTTGGTCTTCTTTATGGTTTCCTTTGCTGCGCAAAAGCTTTTAAGTTTCATTAGGTCCCATTTGTTTACTTTTGTTTTTATTTCTATTTCTCTAGGAGGTGGGTCAAAAAGGACCTTGCTGTGATTTATGTCATAGAGTGTTCTGCCTATAAAGCTGGGTTTTAAATGACACTTCTCTGGAATCTGGGAGATAGATTCTGACCTTAAGGTCTTTTCCTTTTTTTTTTTTTAATGTTTAATTTTTATTTATTTTGGCTGCGTGGGGTCTTAGTTGCAGCACGTGGGATCTTTGTTGCAGCGTTTGGACATTTTAGTTGTGGCATGCTGACTCCTTAGTTGTGGCATGCTGACTCCTTAGTTGTGGCATGCCTGCGGGATCTAGTTCCCTGACCAGGGATCGAACCCAGGTCCCCTGCATTGGGAGCACAGAGTCTTACCCACTGGACTACTAGGGAAGTCCCCCTTAAGGTCTTTTCTATCCACTGTTTCTGTGATTCATCCTTCCCTCACTCCCTGCTCCCAGATGATTGGGAAGATGTACTTACAAGTAAAGGATAGGAAGATGTGGGTAGTATTGTCTCTTTAATGATTGGTTGTCATCATATTAGACTCAAGCTAAGGCTAATGAGGAGCAATACTTACATACACCTTTAATTTATACTTCTTGAGGAACACCAGAAAATTACTACATGTTTTTTCCATCTCCAAAGTAGCATTTAGTAAATATATATGGTGGTGGGTTTTGTTTTTTTTTCTTGTTCCAATGTACGAACAAACAAAACCACTTCTTTCTTTCTTTCCAAGTGAGAATCTGTTTGGTTTCTTATTAGCTGTGTGTGCGTTACTGTCTTTATTCTCACTTGCCATGACTATCTGGATCTTTTGGAGAATATAACTTTTATACTTTTCTACTCTTGAAGGAAACTGGTGGTGACAAAAGAAAAGGAGAAGAAGGTGGGGCTGTATACAATCTATGTGAATCCTGCCAATACCCACCAGTTTGCAGTGGGTGGACGAGACCAGTTTGTAAGGTGAGTCTGTGGCTCTTTTGTGTCTTTGAGAGTTTGAGACTGTGATGTATTGTGTACTACCAGCTTGTGTACTACTACCTTTTGGAAAGCTATGAATTGCCTAGGAGTTCATTAACCACCATCTTTAATTTTTTGCCATCTTCCAAAGAGTTTAAACTTCCTCTGACATATTCTGTTCCCTAATGTAGCAATCTCTGAGGGATGGCTTAACATGTTATAGATACTATCAAGTTCTAAAGAAGTTTGATGAATTGACCAAGTTCTCCACATAGCAGCTAGGCATAAACCCAGGTTTACTAGCAAGTGCTCTCTTAGTAAATATTTTCCACCATTTTTCATATGTAAATTAACACGTACTAGAAATTTTGAATGCTGGTTTCAGATACAGAAATAATTTGACTTGGGAGTACTCATTGTGAACTTCAGGTTTTTGGCTCCCAGTATCCTGAACCACTTTTCTTTATCTTTAGTGATATCTTTGTTACTATGAACATCTTTGTTCATAGTATATCTTTGTTACTATGAACATTTCTTGTAACACTGTCTATTGAGATATATCCTGAGGAAAACAGAGTTCATGGATTCAGTTAGTTTCCTTCTGGCCCTTTGTCACAATTATATCCCATCCCTATCCAATTGGGCTATTTTTTTTTTAACATCTTTATTGGAGTATAATTGCTTTACAGTGTTGTGTTAGTTTCTGCTGTATAACAAAGTGAATCAGCTATATGCATACATATATCCCCATATCCCCTCCCTCTTGCATCTCCCTCCCCTGCCCCATCCCACCCCTCTAGGTGGTTACAAAGCACCGAGCTGATCTCCCTGTGCTATGCGGCTGCTTCCCACTAGCTGTTTTACATTTGGTAGTGTGTATATGTCGGTGCCACTCTCTCACTTCGTCCCAGCTTACCCTTCCCCCTCCTCCCGGTGTCCTCAAGTCCATTCTCTACGTCTACATCTTTATTCCTGTCCTGCCCCTAGGTTCATCAGAACCACTTAGTTTTTTTTTAGATTCCATATGTATGTGTAAGCATACGGTATTTGTTTTTCTCTTCCTGACTTACTTCACTCTGTATGACAGACTCTAGGTCCATCCACCTCACTACAAATAACTCAATTTTGTTTCTTTTTATGGCTGAAAAATATTCCATTGTATATATGTGCCACATCTTCTTTATCCATTAATCTGTTGATGGACACAGGTTGATTCCATGTCCTGGCTATTGTAAATAGTGCTGCAGTGAACACTGTGGTACATGACTTTTTGAATTATGGTTTTCTCAGGGTATATGCCCAGTAGTGGGATTGCTGGGTTGTATGGTAGTTCTATTTGTAGTTTTTTAAGGAACCTCCATACTGTTCTCCATAGTGGCTGTATCAATTTACATTCCCACCAACAGTGCAAGAGGGTTCCCTTTTCTCCATGCCCTCTCCAGCATTTGTTGTTTGTAGATTTTTTGATGGTGCAATTGGCCTATTTTTAAGTATCTTTCTTTGGTTGCCAACAGATCATCAGTTTGAAAGGGAGGAAGGAAAGCATCACTAGAAGAATGAATGACTTTATGCTTTCCTGGTGGTGGATGAAAAGCATTATCTTCCTTTTTATTTATTTATTTATAATTTTATTTATTTATTTCTGGTTGTGTTGGGTCTTTGTTGCTGCACGCAGGCTTTCTCTAGTTGCAGAGAGCAGGGGCTACTCTTTGTTTTGGTGCGTGTGCTTCTCATTGCAGTGGCTTCTCTTGTTGGGGAGGACAGGCTCTAGGCATGCAGGCTTCAGTAGTTGTGGCTTGCGGGCTCTAGAGCACAGGTTCAGTAGTCGTGGCGCACGGGCTTAGTTGCTCTGCAGCATGTGGGATCTTCCCAGACCAGGGCTCGAACCCGTGTCCCCTGCATTGGCAGGTGGATTCTTAACCACTGTGCCACCAGGGAAGTCCCATCTTCCTTTTTAAATAAGAGGATATTTTTATAACTGTATTCTGTAATTAATTTTATTAATAATCACAGGGATGGGACTAAATTTTTAGAAATACCTGAGAGATGATCTTAACTTGTTGAAGAATCCTGCCACAAGAGAACTGGGCAACTTTGTTGCTCTCTTCTTCTTCCCCTGTTTCCCTTGCCTTCTAAATTCCTTTCCTCTATTGATCAATAGCAAATGTTTAGCAGTAGTTTTTTTTTTTAAGATAAGCTGTTGATCTAAAAAGGGGTAGTAGTTGTCAGAACTTTCAGGTGCTACCTCCTCCAAATCAAGCATTTACTGAATTTTTAAATTTGCATTTCCTGCTTAGAGCTCTGGATTCATGGAAAAGTCTGTGTCTCTAGATAATTCAAGCACTAGGACCTTGATGTTTGAGGAGAGTGGAGGCATTGGCTGTATTGAGAACTGCAATTGATAATGCTTTTATCCAGAGCTAATACTTTCTCAGGGTGAGAGTGGGGCTGGAAATTAGTTTTAGCATTTCATCACAAGGAGAAATACTCAGATCTTCTATTTATTATCAGCCTCAATATCCTTTATCCCTTTGTACATGCCAAATTCTCAGCACGTAATAGGCTGTTTACACGACAAAAGCATGTGTATATTTTGAGGCACACTGATCGCCTATGAGCAGATGGCCCTTCCACACCCTAGCTCTTCTCTGATCATCCTCAATTTCTCTGGCACCTCTTCAGTTCAGCCAGTTGAATGTTTTGGAATTCCTCTTTTCTGTTTCTTTCTTTGAAAGAACTTTAGGCTCACCTGCCAGTACAAATTTGAAAATACTTTTGCTGAATATTTTATATCATAACACCATTAGCTTTCACTAGCTTGAAGGAATTCCTTTAGGGGAATACAGAGAAATAGCTTACTCATCCTCAAGACTTTCACATCATAAATACTGAATTTTAGTTTAGGATTGTGAAGGAGCATTTAAGAGAGTCATGCTTTTTTGAATATGACCAAAAAGGGGGGATGGGCAGGGAGAAAGAAAAAAGGTAGGCAAATGGAGGGTGGTATAGATTTGAGTTTCTGCCACTAAATCCTTTTTAGGTTAGTTTAAGAATTTACAGGAGTGAAGAAAAGGAGAATGTATCAGGTGAATGAATCCTGTGATAGATTTGGCAGTGTGATTGGTTGACATGTAAATTTATTGCTAAAGGATTTGGTATAGGCCCTGGTTTATAAAACACAGTCAATAAATAGTCAGTTTGCTCCCCTATCTTTATCAGCAACATTGAGAGAACACTAGATTAAAGGCAAGTTGGGGGAAGAGGAGGTGAGGAGGGAAGAGAGAGGCTTAAGGTAACAAATTCGTGGGCACCTGGAGGCCTGTGGAGAGGAATGCAGTAAGGGTGTTCAGACAGTGCTGAAACCATTCTTTATTTGATTTAAAATGTCCAGGGTATAGGAAGACTCAATAATGTGGAGATGTCAGTTCTTCCCAACTTGATCTGTTGAGTCAGTGCAATCCCAATCAAAATTCCAGCAAGTTATTTTATGGATATCGACAAACTGCTTCTTAAAGTTTGTGTGGAGAGACAGAAGATCCAGGATATCCAACACAGTATTGAGAGAGAAGAACAAAGCTGGAAGCCTGATACTACCCAACTTCAAGACCTATCAATACTCTAAAGCTACAGTAATTCAGACAGCATTGTATTGGTGAAATAGACAAATAGATCAAAAGCACAGAATAGAGAGCCCAGAAATAGACCCCCATAAATACAGTCAAGTTATCTTTGACAAGGAAGCAAAGGCAACAAATGGAGAAAAGATAGTCTCTTCAATATATGGTGCTGAAAGAACTGGACATCCACATGTAAAAACTGAATCTAGACATAGACCTTACACAGTTCACAAAAGTTAACTTAAAATGGATCATAGACCTGAAAGTAAAGCCCAAAACTATAAAAGTCCGGAAGATAACATCGGAGAAAACCTAGAAGACCTTGGGTATGGTGATGCCTTTTTATTTTTTTATTATTATTATTTTTAAAGTTTATTTTATTTATTTATTTTTGGCTGTGTTGGGTCTTCGTTGTGGTGCATGGGCTTCTCATTGCAGTGACTTCTCTTGTTGTGGAGCACAGGCTCTAGGCGTGTGGGCTTCAGTAGTCGTGGCATTCAGTCTCAGTAGTTGTGGCTCGTGTGCTCTAGAGCACAGGCTCAGTAGTTGGGGCACACGGGCTTAGTTGCTCCATGGCATGTGGGATCTTCCCGGACCAGGGATTGAACCCGTGTCCCCTGCATTGGCAGGCAGATTCTTAACCCCTGGGCCACCAGGAAAGTCCCTCGGTGATGCCTTTTTAGATACAACATCAAAGACATCCATGAAAGAAGTAATTGATAGGTTAGACTTCATTAAAATTAAAAACTTCTGCTCTGTGAAAGACACTGTCTTTCAAGAGAATTAGAAGATAAGCCACAGACTGGGAGAAAATGCTTGCAAAAGGCACATCTGATGAGGGACTGTTATGCAAAATATACAAAGAACTGTTAAAACTCAACAACAAGAAAACAACCCAATTAAAAAGTGAGCCAAAGACCTTAACAGACACCTCACTGAAGAAGATACACAGATGACAAGTGTATGAAAAGATGATCCACATTATATGTCATCAGGAAAATGCATATTAAAACAACAGTGAGATACCACTACACATCTATTAGAGTGGCTAAAATCCAGGACACTGACAGCACGAAATGCTGGTGAGTACTGTGAAGCAACAGGAACTCTTATACATTGCTAGTGGGAGTGCAAAGTGATACAGCCGCTTTAGAAGACAGTTTGACGGTTTCTCCAAAACTAAACACACTGGTACCATACAATCCAGCAGTCAGGCTCCTTGGTATTTACCCAAAGGAGTTGAAAAGTTATGTCCACACAGAAACCTGTACGTGGATGTTTATAGCAGCTTTATTCATAACTGCCAAAACTCGGAAGCAACCAAGGTGTTCTTCAGTATGTGAATGGATAAATAAATGGTGGTATATCCAGACAATGGAATATTATTCAGCACTAAAAAGAAAAGAGCTATCAAGTCATGAATAGACATGGAGGAACCTTAAATGCATATTACTAAGTGAAAAAAAAGGCCAATCAGCCAATCTGAAAAGGCTACATACTGTATGATTCCAACAGTATGACATTCTGGAAAAGGCAAAACTGTGGAAATAAGAAAAAGGTCAGTGGTAGCCAGGGGTGGGGTGGGGCAAGAAAGATGAATAGGCAGAGGACAGAGGATTTTTAGGGCAATGAAAGTACTCTATGATATTATAATGATGGATATACGTCATTATACATTTGTCCAAACCCGTAGAATGTACAAGAGTGAACCCTCAGGTGAACTATAGACTTTGAGTGATTATCATGTCAGTGTAGGTTCATCCTTGGTTTAAAAAAAAAAAAACTACCGTTTTGATGAGTGATTTTGATAATGGGAGGGGCGATACATGTGTGGGGGTAGGGAGTGTATGAAAAACCTCTATACTGCCCTCTCAGTTTTGTTGTAAACCTAAAACTGCTTTAAGAAAATAGTCTTAAAAATTAAAAAAAAAAATTTTTTTTTAATGTCAAGGTCCTGTCCTATGCGCAGATAATAGGGGAATTGTTTTTCTGTTTGCATCACCACTGTCTAGCACAGGGCTTGGCAGTCTACACTGTGTTTGTAAATAAAGTTTTATTAGAACACAGCCATAGCCATTTGTTCACATATATCCATGACATGCTACAGTGGCAGAGTTTGGAAACTGTGACAGAGACTGGATGGCCTGCCAGCTTAAAATATTTACTGCCTTGCCATTTAAGAAAAAGTTTGGGGCTTCCCTGGTGGCACAGTGGTTAAGAATCCACCTGCCATTGCAGGGGACACGGGTTCAAGCCCTAGTCCAGGAAGATCCCACATGCCACAGAGCAGCTAAGCCTGTGCACCACAACTACTGAAGCCTGTGTGCCTAGAGCCCATGCTCCCCAACAAGAGAGGCCACCACAATGAGAAGCCCACGCACCGCAACGAAGAGTAGCCCCCACTCGCCGCAACTAGAGAAAGCCCACGCGCAGCAGCAAAGACCCAACGCAGCCAAAAATTAAATAAAATAAATAAAATTTTAAAAAAAGTTTGCCAATCCCTAGTCTCAAACATCATATCTAGAATATAGTAGGTTCTTAATAAATACTTATGGAAGAAAGGGGAGGAGGGTAGGTAAAGATTTCCTCATAAAGAAGAGCATTGGATACAGAGGAACATGGAATGGTCCATACAACAAGATACTGAATATTTAAAACTTTTTACTAATTTGATGACTTGGGAAGATAATGATGTCTTAGTGACATTTGAGAGCTGTTGATTTAGACTTAGTTTAGAGGGAAAATAATCTGATTATCAGCTGCTATATTTGCTGAAGAGTAGTAATTGGTAGTACAGCAGTCTCCTGTTTGTCTTATTTTTTTATTGGTTCATTTAAAAAACATTTCCTGGATAGTCTATTTATGCAAGATATTAATGGATTATGGAGAATACTTAATTCGTTCATTTATTCATCCAGCATTTACTGAGCATCTGTTGTGTGCTAGGTACACACTTGACTAGACATAGTTTCTGCCTTCAAGGAGGATTCGGGAGAAGCAGATATATATAGGGATTAAAAATATTAAGTAACTTACCCAGTATTGCTCATCTAGTAAGTAGCATAGTATCTGAACTCAGTTCAGATGCCTTAAATATGGTGGAAACCATTTCACTGTGCTGTTCTTTCTCACAGAGGAAGTATTAAAGGCAAATGGGAAGTATTTCAGGTAGAGGGAACAATATGTGTAGAATTAGGATAACAAGATGTGACATGGTATGTTCAAGGAAGCATAGTTTTTTTGTTTTCTGTATAATGCATAGGATCTTGGAGAAGTGATAGGCAGCCATACTAAGTAGTCTGGACTTTATTTAGTAGAAAGTACAAAATCACTGAAGAGATTTAAGCAGGGAATTTACATTAAATTTTTCATTTTAGACATAATTCTGGTGACAGTATGAGCAAAGAAATCAGAAGGTTACTATAAATAATGTAGGCAAAAAATGCCTAAGGGTGGAGAAAGCAGATATAGTCAAGAAATATACCCAGGAAGTCAAATCGACAGGAAAGAAACTAGATACATCGAGAAAGGACCTGATTTCTGGTTTGGCCACCTGAATTTAGGATGGTGCCATTAACAAAGATTTGGGGGAAAGGGTAGGTCTAGAATGATCTTAGCTTAAAAAGGAGAATGATTTTACTTTTGGGCATTCCATTACAACATTCATTTGGCGTGTGGATATAAATCTAGAGCTCACTCAGAACAAGTGTGGGCTGGAGACACAGATTTAAGAGACATATCCACATATAGGTGGTAAAGTGTTAATGGAATTTGATTACCAAAAGAAAGTATAGAGCAGAATTCTTCCTCCCTTTTGAGTCTCTGGCCTCTTTGAGAATATAAGGAGAACCATGATCCCTTCTCCCAGGAAAAATACACATAAGCACAGTTTCTGGGCATTCACATATACTTGAACTCTAGGTTTTAAAATTTCCTTATGTAGAATCAGAGGAGTACTTAAGACCAGACCTTTGAGGAACATCAGCATTTAAGGGGTAGACAAAAGACAAGCCTATGAACAACATTAAAGGGTGGTTGGAAATCAAGGGAAAAAAGTGTTTCAGGGAAGGAGTAATGAACAATGTCAAGACAAAAGAGAAAGACCTAAAAAAGTATCTTGTTGGTATTGGCAGTTAGGTTACTGATGACTTTAGCCAGAGAAGCTTCAGTAGTGAGTTGAAGGCCAAAGCTAGATTAGAATGGAATGAGAAATGAATAGGAGGTGAGGGAGTGAAAATGTCGAATGCAGATTGCTCTTTTCAGTAATTCTACTACAGGGGGGAAGGACAGGAAAAGCCAGAGTAGGAAAGGTCAGTGGAAGGATTTTTAGAAACGGGACAATGGTGAGGAAGAGGACTAATCAGTGAGAAATGGACTAATCAATCAAACAAGGTCCTTGGAGGGATGAGATTAAGAGCAGCTGTGGAGGGATGAGACTCTGAGATTGGAGGAGACTGATGGGTGAAGACAGAGACTAGATCTGTCTTGTTCCTCACTATATTTCTAGCACCTGGCATAATACTTGGCGCCTAATCCATGTGTCATAAATAGTTGCACAAATGATTAAAGTTTGGATTGGAAAGATGAGGAAGGTGAAGGTAGTTTGATGCTTGATGAGAATGAAGGAAGGAGAGAGTGAGTCTTGAGATATAGGTGTTGGTTTGTAATAGTTTTGGGAAGAACTAGCCAAATAAAATTTCAAAAAGGGATTCAAGACCCACTGACTTACATAAAGCATGGTCTCTGCCCAAGAGTAATAAACCGTATTGGGGAGGCAACATGCATGCAAAAGGCTCTATAATAATGTTATTTCAGTGCAGATAAACAGTAAATGATATAAAAGCTGAGAGAAGAGATAAGCCACTTCAAAATAATATAATTTAGAATTACTACTTGAAATGAGAAGTACCTGGATAAGAGTTTTGGTTTGGAAGAGGGGTGGGAGAAGATTTTTGAGGAAGAACCTGAGCCAGAAGCCTAATTGGGGAATGTCCTTTATCTGTCCTGACAATCCAGCTGACTAGTGTTCCTGCCACTACATCAAATGGCAACTCTTCAAGGGATGTTTGTAAATTTTGACATTTTCATTGCTTCTTCCACCGTAGGATTTATGACCAGAGGAAAATTGATGAGAATGAAAACAATGGAGTACTCAAGAAATTCTGCCCTCATCACCTGGTAAGATTCATGAAGGGCCAGTGGCTCCAGGCTTCCCTGACTCAACCCCAAGCCTGCCCCCAAACTTGTTGGTATGGTGGGAAGAGCTTGGACTTTGGAGTCAGACACCTGGATTTGAATCCTGGCTCTACCACTTACCAGTTTTGTGATCTTGGGCAGTCACCTTACCTCTGTTAGCCTCAGTTTTCTTATTGACAAAATAGAGATACAGATAACTGCCTTGTACCATGATGGTAAGGCCTAATGAGATAATGTATATATGAAATGGCTAGCACACAGAAGACAACCAGTAGAAAGACCTCTCCCCCCGAGGTGGTCAAGTTTCATCAGTTGTTCTCCTGTCTCTATCTCTCTGTCTATCTTCTTCTCTCTCCCTGTCTCTCTCTTTTTCTCTCTCTCTGTCTCTATCTCTATCTGTCTATCTCTGGGAGAGGATATAGGGGAGTTTGAAGGAAAACCTGTTTCCTGAAGGTGGTATAACAAATGGGGGGGTGGGGCATCAGTCAGTATCTGCTCCTTATTGCAGGTGAACAGTGAGTCCAAAGCAAACATCACCTGTCTTGTGTACAGCCACGACGGCACAGGTACGTGAGCAGGGCCCAGCTCCTAGGCTGGCATGCCCCCTCTGTCTAGGGAGCTGCTGAGCCAGTGAGGCATGTGCCCTCCAGTGCTCACCACTGTGCTATAGCTCCGAGTGGAGCAGCTGGGGAGTAGTTGCTGATGGTGAGCACACAGCGGGAGGATGCAGCAGATGACCCTTGGAGATGCCAGGCACTTGCAGAATGCTGCAGATGATATTTGGCAGGGCTTGTCCTAAAGCCCAGGCTATTTGGTTGAGCAGGTTCTTATGCCTTTGACTCATTCCTGAATTAATGGGTATGATCTTCCTGGGCATTCTGCTACCCCTGGGTTGGCAGCATGTTCCTAGTCTACCCTAGACACCTGAAGTGCCTGCTGTTCCAACTGAGTAAGATGGGTGCTATACCTGGGTATTAGGAGGGGGCACTACTGGCAAGAAGCCCCACCCCAACCCCCAACTCCTGATCCTAGCTTTTTTCAGCCTTTGCCTTCACTGCTGTGTGCTTGTTCTTGGCAGAGCTCCTGGCCAGTTACAATGATGAAGACATTTACCTCTTCAACTCCTCTCACAGTGATGGGGCCCAGTATATTAAGAGATATAAGGGCCACAGAAATAACGCCACAGGTGAGACTGTCTTTCTAGGTTTCTGTACCCCAAGTCTGTTGGTTTGAAGAACCACAGTATCTCATGCAGGTTGTGCAAATAAGAACTACCTAAAGGAGTAGGCCATCTGTCACCAAGTGACAGCAAGCCTAATTGGGCTGGAGTTTTCATAGTCCCTCCTGTGCTAGAGGAGAGAGGGCTCGGGAGCATCTCTCACCACTACAGGGATGTTACTTGGTCTGGATGTAAGGAGACTCGACTGACTATATTTTTCTTATGATTTCAGGTAGCTTCAGGATTAAAAGACTTATTAGGGAGTTTGGGAAAGCCCTCCTTAGTTAGTGGTACTGAATTGCCTAAAATAGGGGGGTGAGCTTGTACTTAAAGGGAAGAGGAGGGAATAATTCTTTTGAATGAGGCAGAAGAGGAGAAATGGTGATAGCACCTCACCCAAGTTTGCAGTGACGATTGGCCCTTTTTGTTCTGTCTGTGGTTCCCAAACTTTGATGTGCAATGAAGTCACCTGACAATGTTTTAAAGATACTGAAGCCTGGCTTCCATACCCATCCATTCTGACTTAATTGGTATGGGGTGCACGTTGATTAGGATTTTTAAAAAGCTCCCTTTGATTCTAATGTACAGAAAAGTTGGAATCACTGCTCTTTGTTGTTATTAGTGCTCCTGTCAGATGTCTGTCATAATGTTGACTGGGGAGAGCAGCTAGTTTTCCTTTTTTCTCTTGAGCTGGTGAGAGGAGAGGGAAAAACCTGTACTTGGATCTTAGTCCTTGGGCATACAGAAGGAAGTATTCCAGTCTCATGATTGGTATGGAACTGGATGTAGCAGTTGGGACTCCTGGTTTCTCTTACTAATTTCAGGGGGAACCCTGTTGTTCAGTCTTGGTAACACGCACAGTTCAGGTGCTTCTTATAGGCAGTTGTGGCATATACCTTCATCAGTCTTAGGTCACCTAATGACCCAGGAAGCATTGACAAGGTACCAGTGAAGCACACATACCAAGGATAATCCTAGGGCATAGGACAGTGCTGCCTAGGAGTGGGCAGAGCTGGGGCCATTCAGGTTGGGACAGGTGAGGCATTAGTGAGGCCTGTGGCTGCTCCGTAGGGTGCAAACTAATGAGACTGAGGCTGTTGCTAAGGGCTGCAAACTCCTCAGCTCTATGGACCTCTTTAGGAGAATATAAATAGTCTCTGGAACTGGTGTGATTTTTATTCTGTCTATTATACATGCATAATCCCTTGATTTGTTTTGTGAAAGTGAAAGAAATTCTTTGGCTCTTAGCTGATTTAGATTTGTGAATAACTAAATTTCCTGTGAGGTAAATATATGTCGGCCTGATGCCAACTCTCATGTGGTTTATTCCTTCATTTGTCATTTCAGTAAAAGGCGTCAATTTCTATGGCCCCAAGAGTGAGTTTGTGGTGAGCGGTAGTGACTGCGGGCACATCTTCCTCTGGGAGAAATCATCCTGCCAGATCATTCAGTTCATGGAGGGGGACAAGGGAGGCGTGGTGAGTATGGTGTGCTGGGCTGGCTGGCTCTCTGCTCTCTCCAGTCATTAAGGTAGGCTTTAGCAGGGCCACTGAATTCTCACTCTGACAATGTAATACCACGTCTTAGAGGTCTAGCCAGCTAAATAAAAAGACAGTATAGTCTGGGGGTGCTGAGGTTTTAATGGAATATTTTCTTCCCTTTCCTGTCTTCTGCCCCTCTACAGCACGGTTTATTAAGAGGAGAAAGGGATTTTAGGGAAGAACCTCTGGCCTGAGTGAGGTATCTTTAGGCATGGACCTTTTCCAAAACAAAAGCATTAGCGTTCAGGGCACACCATCCTACACACTGTAGTAGGTAGCTAAGTAGTGATCTTGAATAGATCCTGGATTAGCGGATACAAGCTAGAAGGAGCATTTTTTCTGACAGTTGGGAAAATCAGAATATGGTCTGTATATTGATACAAACACACATAATATATATGTATATATAGGGAGAGAGAAACGTGCTTACCCCCGCGACCATTTTTCTTGTTGTTGTTGTATTGACTGCTATACAACCCATATCATATCATAGTCTGCCTGTCCTCTGAGTTCTGCAGACAGCCTCCATTGAGATAGGGCAAAAAGGAAGCCTGAGGATCGTGAGTTGGGGAGTGAAAGGTGGTCAGCTCTTAGGATGTATCTAGCTAACCATAAATTTTTCTGTTTTATCTTTTTTGAGACCTAGTGTCAAGAAGGATTCAGTAGCTTTCTATTACAAGGTTTTCAGACTGCAGAAGATAAGAAAGAGGCAGTTTGGGCAACTGCATTTTACTGACTACCCAAGACAGTCTTGTTAAGAGCTTCTAAGGGATGGCTGAGATGCTTATTCTTTCTTCCTTTTCATTCCTCTTAAGCTGTGGGGAGCTACAAAGAACCCAGCCATCTCTTGATGAGGTTTATCCAGAGTGGTTTTAGAGTTTAGAATGGTTCATTGCAGTTGGGATCCCATTTCTTCTTGTGTGTCTCTTATCCTGGTGTGAGGCTATTTCAGACTTTCTTCTGGTTTCCTCTAAATTTTGGGGACCTGGGACCAGTATAGACCCAAAGCTTCTATGGCTTGAATATAAGTGGAGAAGAGTCTAGAACTTGAAGGTGTGTCTCACTGTTGCCTGCTTCATTTCCTACTTTTCCATAGGTCTTCTATCATCTGTAGTGAACAAACCCAAAACACTGGAGTCTTAATGAGAATTCGGCAGTAGGCATGTAGTCATGAGAAAGTCAAAAGGGGCCAGTGAATCTTTTATTGATCATAAACTATTGTCTTTCATTCCATTCTAGAGAGATGCGGGGCTGAATGCCCTCCCCCAGGCCAGCACTTGTCTGTGGTCCAGAATCACTCTACAGGCCAATCTCCTTTCAGCTTAGCCAGTGTCAGGGTTTGATGATTAATCCAGGTGCTCAGGTTGGGAGGGCATTTGCGTAGGATGGGTGGGCCCCAGGCCTGAGTTTTAGTGGTCATAAGAGTGAGGTACTAGAACAAGAGGTATAAAGACTGCACCCTGCAGCGAGATTCCTGGCTTGTTCTTGCCTCTGTGTAAGCTGAATGATCTATGTGGTCCTCACTTGGCTCCTTCTGATTTTTTGTGCTAACCTCCCAGCAGTGGGGTCACCAGCGCCAGCCTGAATGCAGACTATATCATTAAGTAGACTATTAGAACCAGAAGGGATCTTTGAAATTCTCATCCACCTTGCCCAGGTATCTCAATTCTGTTTTTGGCTCAAACTCTAGTCCTTCCGTTGTTTGCATTCGGGGCAAGGGTGGGGGATGATGTCAAAGGACAATCCTTAGTCTCCCGAAAGCACTTTGCTCCTTTATCCCATCACCTTCATCCCTCAGCCCAGTCATCTAAGGCCAGAGCTCTTTTCTCTGCTCAGGCATTACTGACAGGATAAGTCCTGGCATGCAGACAGGTCGGGTGAAGTGACCAGGTATTCTGGCCCAGAAGCTCTCTGTTGGCTTCCCCTGCAGGCTCCATCTCAGGTACTATATGTAACTTACTCTCTTGCCATTGGCTTTGTCCTTAGTCTTAAGTTCCAAGGAATTTCTCCCTTGTGCCTTTTTATTTTGCTGACTTGTCAAGCATAGCTAGGTCAGAGTTTAGAAGGGTAGCAAGGGCTTGAGATGGATGAACGAGTTCAAGTTTGTATGTGTTAAGTTGTCACATATCTTTTGATAATATTTTCTGGCAATGGAGTTCTTCTCTCTAGTGCCACCTCTGCTCCAGATGCTGGAACCTCTTCCACATTGCCTAAAAGAGCCCAAATATAAACTTTGTAATGAGCTGATATGTGGAATAAAAGAAGAAAGAAGGGAAATGTGGTTTCTGCTTTACTCTTAGACTCAGTGTTTTCTGAGAATTTATTTGTAAAATGGAAGACAAAGAAGATTGGAAGTCTGTATGTCAGTTTTATTTTCCATGCTGACCCTGGCTTCCCATCAGCTGCTCTCCGCATGTGCAGGCGAGGCAGAGAAGGTTGGTCCAGAGAGAACTAAGAGGCTGTTTGCCAGGGGTTGTTTCCTTGGACTGTACTGCAGCTGCAAGACAGGGTGGGGTGAGGTGAGGAGTGGCTAGGACCACACCTTCTTCCTTCTGGATGCTTTTGCCATCTATTCCTCATCTGACTAAAAGCCCAAAAATGCTTTAGCAGCCAGATCTGGGACCAGCTCCTCCGGTGGCGTGGTAGCTGCCCTGCTCTGCCAGGAAGGCTGATGTTTCCAAGTCAGACAGCAGGGGGCATGGGTGCCTTTGGAAAGAAGGAGGCTGCCTAAGCCAGAAGGCCTTTGCCTCGGCTGCTGTAGTTCATTCCTCCTGCTCAGTGAATATATCCAGAGGGTGGCTGAGCTTGAGGCTGTGGGTGCCCAAGGAAGCTGCCTCACTGTACTGTGCTGTCCTATAGCTGAGCCTGTTGTGCTTTCATGGCAGGCAGCAGAATGCTGTCTCCTGGGGTGTGCAGGGTTCTCAAGCAGATATGTGTCTCCACTACCCTACTATGTTTCAGGCTCAGCCTCTTCCCAGCCTGTGCCTTCTTCCAGTTCTTATAAACAGTGGAATGTAATTGTTCTCTGAGTCTTCTCTGGGGGCTCAGCAGCAGCTGCTGCTTTCTTCATTTTTAAAAATGTATTTGCCACTTGGTGAAAGCCACTGAGATGTTTTTTTCCAGACTGGGGCAAGTTGCAGCTTTGGAAGCTGGAGAGAATGAGGTCATCTGAACCTCACTGCCTTTTTGTGAAGCCAGCAGTATGCTTGGCCAGTCACCCGCCCACCCCTAGAGCTATATCTCAGGATGAGGCCACCCCTACCTAAACCTAGGAAGTGAGAGATAGGCCTGGTCTTATCTCCAGTCTGCGTCCAGTGTTTCTTTCACCCCGAGGGCCCTTTAGCCTAGGCTTATGATGGGTGGGCCTGTCTTCCCAGCAGCTGTCTTAACTTTTATCAAGGACAGTTGTTTGTTTCAAGGTGAGTAGTGGTTTTTAAACCGTATTGCCACATACCCCTGAGCCTATGTTTTCCTTTACTCCTGACCAGGTAAACTGTCTTGAGCCCCACCCTCACCTGCCTGTGCTGGCAACCAGTGGCCTAGACCATGATGTCAAGATCTGGGCACCCACAGCTGAAACTTCCACTGAACTTACAGGGTTAAAGGATGTAAGTAGCTGACTATAGATTTCTTCTTTCTGCTTATCCACATACTGTTAGGAGTTTTCATTGTCATAGGAAGGAATAACTTGCTGTACAGTTCTTTAAAGGCACTGCTCTAACACCCTCCCCCACATTCCTGTCATTGCCTCTCTAGGAACAGTCCCAGTCCGGGGGTCCAGGGTGCAGCTTTGAAGTGCATCTAGTTCATGGTAGAGGGGACATCTTTAGGAAGAATCATCCATCTTCTCAGTGGATGAACCTGGGGCATCCTTTCTTAGTCGAATCTAGCTATACCCCAGCTCAGTAGTTTCTAAGGGAAGATTTTACTGGGCTAGAACACCAGCCTTTTCTGATCAGGTCCAGGGTTCCTATTCATTACCCACTTCCCCAACCCTTTTTGGTTCCAGGTGATTAAGAAGAACAAGCGGGAACGGGATGAAGATAGCTTACACCACACCGACCTATTTGATAGCCACATGCTCTGGTTCCTCATGCATCACCTGAGACAAAGACGCCATCACCGGGTAAGCTGGAGTGGGAAGTGAGCTCCCAAGGGCAGTGACCCTCTCAAGAGGGTAAAATGTTCCAGGGCATACTTCTCGCTGCTTTAGGAGGAATCAAGTGGAGTTAGTTGGGTTTCCTATGCATTATTCCCCATCCCCATCAGAGCTTTGATGTAGCCTTGGAAGAGCCACTAGCAGAAATAGCTGGTGTCTGCTTAGTGTTCTCCATCACCACGCATGCACAGGGTTGTCTTCAAAAAGGCAAAGGCATGAGGGTGGGGAAGGAGTTGAGAAGAAATAAGTCATCTCAGGTGTCTTCTGTCTTTTCTCTTGTGACACAAGAGGCCTAGGGCAGGGGTTAGCATACTGTGGCAGTTTGGGCAAGTGCCTGCTTTTTCTAAATAAAGTTTTATTAGACTACAGCCACACCCATTCATTTATGTGTTGTCTGGCTGCTTTCATGCTACAACAGCAGAGTTGAATAGTTGTGACAGAGATACGGCCCATGAGTCTAAAATATTTACTGTCTGGCCCTTTAAGAAAAATTCTGCCGACCCCTGGCCTAGAGCATGTAAATTATAGCTAAGACCTAACAGGCTTGTCCTTGTTCCAGGGAAATTACTAATAAGCCTTTCCCATCCTACAGCGCTGGCGAGAACCTGGGGTTGGGGCCACAGACGCAGACTCGGATGAGTCTCCCAGCTCCTCAGATACATCGGACGAGGAGGAGGGCCCTGACCGGGTGCAGTGCATGCCATCCTGAGGCCTCGTACCCAGGAGGGGCAGGCTGGGGCTGCCAACCCGATCCTGCCTGGGCAGCCCTTTCCTGTCCCAGGCTCTAACATTCAGCAGAAACGCACTTTGGACTTTTTTGCTTTAGATTTAAAAAAAAAAAAAGAAAAGAAAAGAAAAAAAAGAAAAAAAAAAGACATCCCAGGAGGACAAGCCAGAGGGGAGCAAACCTACAGAGCATCTAGAAGTGGGAATTGAGCCCTGGAATGGGGTTCCATGGAGAGGTGCATAGGACTTGGCAGAAATGGCCTCTCCCCAAAGCCTTTTTTTTTTGGGAGGGGGGAGCCTATTTTGTTAACTGGTTTGGGGTAGGGAATGGGGTTTCCTTTTCTTTGATCTCCCTTGTTTCTTGGGTGGGGGGTGGGGGGATAACTGGCTGTTCAGTACCAAGGGGCCAGACTGGGGGTGGTAGAAATGCCACTCTCTCTTTGGTTTAGGTTTTTGACTTTATTTTCTTTATTTTTTAAAATTCTATGACAGTTGCATTGTTTTTTCTTCCCCCTGAGCAAGCAACCCCATCCCAGGATCCTGTTTTTCTGGGGAGTCCTTAGAGCCCCTAACCATCCCACACTCTTCACTTTCTTTTCCACCCCATTCATTCTCTGTACTTATCACAGTGTTTTGCACTTGATTATGTATCCTTCACTCTCTTCTCTTCATCCCATCACCCCCTCAGTAGGTCTGGTGAGGGAGGTTGGGGGGAGGTGGGAGGAGGGACAGAAGTGGAAGAATAGGAAGGTGGTTACCTCTTCTGTTACTTAAAAAAAAAAAAAAGTTGTTTGGTGGCAGCAATCTCCCTGTCCCTATCACTGTTAGAGGCCTAATTTTATATCTATAAATATATTAAAAAGCAAGTCAAAATTGGATGTATCATGTTAAAATTATTGTTGAAGTTTAAATACCTATATATTCTCTATGACTGCAATAAAGGGACTTACAGGAGAGAGTGAGTGAGAGTAATGATGTGGAGGTATCACCTGGGGTCAGCCTACCCTCTGTGCACGGCTACTGGAGATTAGGGCTTAACCCTTATGTTTTAGGAGGCTCAAGAATGGAAGGATCCTGAATTCTGCCCTTTCCTGCTTTCCTACCATGGTTTCAGGGTTGGGAAGCCCCTTTCATCTCTTTGCTCCAGATATCCTACCTCTGCTTAAGTCTTGTGGGGGTTCCCAGGATGGCTCTGCTAACCAGAGACTGGCTCATCTTCAAAACTTGACTGAACTGTGACTTCAGGAAGGGTTCTGCCACTGCAGACCGTCTCTCCTAATACTGTGTGTGACAGAAGACACACTCACTCTTAGCTTTAGCTGCTTGATTCTTTAAACTATCCAACTCCACACCAACTCCCTTCCTAATGGAAGAGTATAGGGAAAGACCTCCTGGGTTTGACTTTATACCTTGTCCACCTTTTCCTATCTTGGGATTGAAGGACAAGTCATTAATCTAAGGATTGAGTAAGGTGGCTGGGGCTCAGACACCTATTGTATCACTGGTCACTAATTATCAAAGTCCCAGTTGCATTCTTGCCCTTAAATGCTTTTGTTTTCTTTGTTTTCTTTGCCCCCAACCAGGAATTCTGCATCCTGGGACAGTCAGATTCTACTAGAACAGGCCAGGAAGGAAGGGAGGAGTGAAAGGGTGGAATTCCCAGATACTCCTTCCTCCTGCCCCTTTTCCTAGCAGCTCTCAGACCAGATGTTAGCTGCTGTACTTCCTCCCTGAGGTAGTGAATGTGTGGTGACTGTGAGTGGTCTGTGTTCTTATCGCTGGTGGGGTGATGGAGTGGGCTGAAACCATGCACTCTGGAATTTGTTGTGTATTTTCTCTCAGTAAAGCTTTTTCCCCCCCCCCACCCCCCGACTGCTGCTGTGTGTGTGATATGTGAGCCATTCATTCATGATGGGCTATTTTTGTTCCTTTCAGTATAGGTGCCTGGCCCTGGTCTTATTACAATTTTAGGAAGTCCAGTCTGGGATATCCATGTTTCCAGTGGTTGGGCTCCAGTGGGAGACTGTGGAAGTGGAATAGGCCCCACAGTTCAGTGATACTTAGAAAATGAGAGAGGGCAGAGATCCTACTAGGGGTATTTTCCTGGCCTCTTCCAGGCTGCAGTTAAGGATTTGGGCGTAAATTTTGCTCTCCCTCCCCAGTCATCCAAAGGCTTAAAAATCCCGGTCATTCACACAAATTTAGAATCAGTTAGGTACAGTACAATCACCTTTATTCCAGGGTTAGAACAAGGCCGTGCACACTGCAGACAGAGGAGCACAGGATAGGGGCAATCTCACAGCAGTATAAGGGGCAGGAGGGCAGGTTAGTCGTTTTAGATTATTTTGCCTTACAGAGAAATTGCTAGACTCCGCTGAAAATGACCCTGTCTCCCTTCTCCCATCTCATCCTCTTCTCTCTTCAAAGGAAGGCTCTTTATAATATATTCCCTCCCTCCACCTCCTTTCTCTCTCAGACTTGTTCTCACATAACATATCCTGGCTTGGAAGGATAATTCCTGCTCTTTATCCCCCTCCCAATTCTACAAGTATCTCTCTCTCCTTGTGGGAGAAGCCAGACAGGACTGGGGAAACTTGGGAAGGTCCTTTAAGGCAAAACTGTGGAGTACTCGAGGTGTATGTGTTAAGGCAGGTGTCCGCAGCAGTGGCCAGAGGGGACAGGCAGGTTGGGCTGGGCTAGGCTAGGATTAGAGGGTGCTCTCCAACCAGTCTGGCTTCTTCCCTCTTCCAGTAGCCAGCTCTCCCCTCCACTAAAGTTTTGCTCCCACATCCTAGAAGCTCCTAGCTTAAACTTTCTCTAAATAGCCTCTTGAGATTGCATGTGAATTGAAAGTTTAAAAAAGTTTTTTTTGTTTTGACTATGTAGCAATTTGACTCTGCCACTCCCTTCACTGTGGCATTCCCCTTCCACCCCCGTCCTGGCCTAGACAATAAGTTAATGCCAGACACCACAAAAAAGGGCAGACATGGCAGTGCGGGTTTAATATACATATATGTAGAATATATATGTACACACAGTTAGCACGGTCAGGGTGGGGATGGCTATCTTGGGACAGGCAGGAGGCTGGGGTCACTGTACTCTAGTGATTTGGCTAGGAGGGGTTCATAAGCCCAAGGTGCCAGGATATTGAGGGAGAGGGGTTACCGAGTCCCCTCCTGGACTGAATTGGGGATCAGTGCAACGGAAAACACTGTAGTTAGCTTCTTCCCTTCTTTCTGGCTTGGGGGAGAGGGGGTTCTAGATCATGGAGAGAGGGAAGGTTGCCTGCAATAACCACGTAGGGACTCTGTAAGTGGGAGCAGGATTGGAGTTAAAACCTAAGGATCTCGATTCCCCAACCTCCCTAGGTTCAGGGGACTCCTGTGCAACAGTCTGAGTAGGAATAAAGGAGTGGAACAGGGAACTCCTCTCTGCCTTCATCCCCACTCAGGCTCAGTGATGGGGTGTGTTCCCAGCACAGTCTCTCCAGAGCAGAGGTGGGTGGGGGGTATCTAATGCTGGGTTCTCCATGGGGTTTGAACTTTGGGGCCAGGGAAGGATCCAGTGATCCTCTCTCTTTAGGTCCCTGGCTCATACCCACCGTAGGCCCATGAGAGGGGAGCAAAAAGGGACCTGCTGGTGCCCAGGCCCTCCAACCTGAGGAACTACTGGAAACTGGACTCCTGAGCCAGTCCAGCTTTGGGGTACAAACACAAACTCTGGCTTTTCTTTGCCCCTTCCAGGTGGGGGTTGGGTAGCCTCTTCATCTTCCCTCTCACTGCTTTTCATTCGATTCACCCACCTCTCCCATGCCTCACTCCTACCTCGCCGCCTCATTGTAGGAAAATACAGGCCCTTTTCTGCTCCCACACTTTAGAGAGGTGGGGGAAGAGTGGAGGAAAGGGAAGTAGGAGGAATGTGCCCATTTCTATTTGCATAGAAATAGCCCCCAACTCCCCCTAGAGTGGGGAAACTGAGCTCCCCCACCCCCAGCCCCTGACCCCCATCCCCTCACAAGGAGGAGGAACTAGATGAGCTAGACATATAGACAGACAGCCAGAGCGTGCGCACACGCACACACACGCGCACAGTAAGGGGGTTAGGACCAGGTTAGTAAGTGGGTAGATGGGGGGGGGGATGCCCTTGCCCCCTCCCCTGGAGGATGGGGGAAGAGAATGGTCTGATGAAGGTCCAACCTTCCTCCTCTTCCTCCCCCTTGCTCAGGCTTTCTTCGGTGGAGGAGCCAATTTGATGATCTCTTCCTCAGAGGGCTGCCGGATAATGTCTGGGGGCAAAAAGGGATGTGTCCAGGGACAGAAGTCACGGGAGGCAGTAGGCAGGCTAACTGATCATAAGCCTCTGTTCTCCCAGAATTCAAGTATTCCACAGATAATCCATGGGAGGGGCAGAGGTACATATTAAAGGCATGGCCTCTTACCTTTGTACTTCTTGGCACTGGGGATACGGGTTAGCTTGGTGTCCAGCTCATCTTCCTCAGAGATCTTCAGAACACGGGTTCTGTAGTCAACCACCATAGTGAGTAGGTCAGGACGGCGGGAGATCTCAAAGATGTGCTCGATATAAGAGAGGTTGTCTGGAGGAAGGCAGGAGACTGAGGATCAGAGCTGCTGTAGAGGTCAGCTTCCCCTACACTGCTGGATTAGGCTTCAGGAACCAAGCCTGAGTTGCTCACATTGGTTACTGGAGGAGGCAACACTGGAAGAAGAGGGGCAGCTAAGCCAGGAAAAGAAAGCTAAAGCACCAGAAGACAGTAGAGAACTCTTCTCAGGAAGGGCAGATCATTGATGAGTGAAGTTTCTAGATTACAGATTTAGAATGAGGGATTTAGGTTAAATACCAGGTTCCACACTGAGTGGAGGGGAGAAGAGAAAAATTAACCGGGCTTCCAAATACCCAACATCCACCCTGTCCCTCTTTCACTTTTCCTCCAAGCAAGCATCAGAATTTCCCAGCAGCACATGTAGGACCAGAAGGGTGGGATCTGTAGACAACCCAGGAGAGATTCTGGGCCTAGTGAGAAGGGTAATTCTGAATGAGAAGGCACAGACATGACCAGAGGGATGATGTCCATGGGTCGGCCAGTTCTAGGAGATTGCAGATGCCTTCTTGCCCCTCTACTGCAGTAGTCCCCTAAGTCAGTGGTCCCCAACCTTTTTAGCACCAGGGACCGGTTCCGTGGAAGACAATTTTTCCATGGACAGGGTGGGCGGGGGTGGGATGGTTCAAGCTGTAATTCGAGCAGTGGGGAGCGAGCGGTAGATGAAGCTTCGCTCACTCGCGCCCACTCCTCACCTCTTGCTGTGCGGCCCGGTTCCTAACAGGACCGCTAGGGACCCCTGTCCTAAGTGTAGCATGTCCTCCTTCAGCCTCCCTCCCTTCATTCCATGCTACAGATTAGTATCTCTGAAGCACCCTCAGGGCACTCACCTCACCTATCAAATACCCTGTCACTCAAGGCCCTCCACAACACAGTCTTAACTTACCTTTCCAGCCACTTCTAAACATGCTATGTTCCTCTGCCTAGCATGTCCTCCTTTGGATCCTGCCTTTGAAATCCCACTTGCCCTTCAGGGCCATCTTAAATACCAGTTCCTCCCCAAAGCCCTTTCCAGAGCAATGGTCTCTAAAAGTGAATAAGAAAATGTTAGAACTTGTGGTTTTAAGTTTTATCACCTTTAAGTCCTATTTTAATGTTTTATTATATATATGATAATAGCACAGTAGGATCTGAGTAACATTTTTTGCTGAATAATATTTTTACTGAAGAATGTAATGCACCATGAAGAATGTAAAGACCACTGCCCTAGAGCCCCTCTACTCTCTTAGAGCACCCCTCTTATCCTGCCTTGTCAAAAAGGAGTGCACTTTGTATAGGAGCTCTGAGCTCATTTCTGTTTGCTGAATGAACTGAGCCTGAACGGCTGATGGTAGGATGCCTGTGTCCCCCTCCCCCACCTTTGTCCAGCTTGTTGTGGCTCTCCAGGAAGCTAAACCAGGCACTGCCAGTAGTGATCTCCTCGCTCTTCTCACTGGGGATGTCCTCCTTGCAGGCTGACTTGAGCTGTTCCAGATCTTCAAGGGTGATGTTGTTGGTCAGGTCCTGGAGGAGGGTCCCGTACTCGGCCATGACTGGGGTTGGGGGGAACAAAGGGAGAGGAGGCTGAGCTTGAGGTTCACGGTTTGGTTCACTCACTGGCACTACCCACCTCTCCTCTACCCTACCAGGCAAGTGCCTGGAACACAGAGGTTGGGGAGGCTAGGACTGGAGGAAGAAAAGGAAGACCTAAGGGAGGTAGGAGTAGACAGGAAGAAACTGGGAAGCTAGGGGCCAGGCTGGAGTCTAGAGTGAAAAGTCACACCTCCTTCTCCCCACCATCTTTTTTCTTCCTTTTCCCCCCTCTAACAGTAACCCTGGCAACAGCTCCCCGACTGAGGAGGCGGTTACCATAGCAACCTGCTCCCGACTCTCTCACCCGCTGTCTCCAAGTCCCCCCCCAGAATCGCCCCACCCACCTGCAACCCCTCCCCCTGTCAAACAAAACAAAACACACCAAAACGACCAGGGAGAGGCTTGCTGTGGCAGTGAGAAGCTAAAAGGAAGGGGCTGGGGGAGGTTGATTGGAGCTCATGTTCTAGCTTCCATTCTTTCCCAGAAGCAAAGGGGGTCCCTCACTTCAACTCCCCACCACCCCACTAATGACTCATTTTGGATAGATGCCTAGTTGCCTGGCCCCTCCATGCTCAGCCCTGTATTCAGTCATTAGGTCTCGGGATGGGGGTGGGGAGGGTGAAGCAATGGGCTACCCCCACCTTTGCGGAGCCCATTTTCTCCCTTGATTGCTGCTGGGCCTCTACACAGCCCTTTCTCCTAGCCTTTGTGCTATGCCTACAGCCCCCGCGCCCAAGAATACCAAGCGGCTGGCTCTGGCCCCCTGCCCAGTTCCCAGGCTGGCTGGGTGGCAGGGAGAAGGGGTTCAGACGCAGCTTTGGGAAAGTCTGGCAGGAAGGGGGCTGCCACTTCTGCTTGCATCAACATCCCGCTGGCACTACCTTCAGCGTGACCTCCCACAGGGGGCCGGGGAAGGCTGGATCTCATCTAGGCCTTCACCCCATCCCTCTTCTATGAAGATTTTTAGGTGAAAAAGGAGAGGACATTCAAGGCCCTCCTTCCACTAAGATAGGGACTGTGGCTAAGACAGGAAGAAAGAAGGTCAGACCTTAGAATGAACTTTCTGGATTTGATAAAATGTGAAACTCCAGTGGTGAGTTTTAAAAAGGGGCTTTTTTTCCCCCACAATGACTATATATTTCTTTTATAATTAAAAAGTAAAGCATTTTAAAAAGTAAATTATGGCATAAACACTCTGTGGCTAGACTAAGGGGTGGGGCAAGGAGCTAGATGACCTTGTACTTGACTGAGACTGCCCACAAATCACCCCAACAATGGGCCGGGAATATAGCAGAAAGGGACTAGTTGACACACCCCATATTCCTTATTTCCACCTACATGCAGGGAAACAGGGAGAGAAGCATGCACCCAGGAGGCCCCATTCCCAGCCCCCTACTTGGACCAGAACAAACAAGCCTCCCTTGGTGGCAGGCACTGTGACACAAACACACAATAAGCCAGGCAGCAGGGCCAGCATGAGCCCCACGAGAAACAGGCACTTATACACATGCTCACGTGCACACCCAGGTGCAACCAGACAGAGGGCCCAGCGGTGGCCCTGCCAGGCTGGGCCAGAAACAATGCTCTCTGACTGTCAGCACCAGGAACCGTCTCGCCTTGAAATCTAGGTCACAGCAGCAGGCTCTGGAGCTCAGCCCCCACCCCCCTCCACTGATAATCCAAGGACAGAAAAGGGGATGTAGACAAGGGGAGTGATGGGGACAGGGTTCAGAGATGGGGATAATAATGGAGGTGGGGTGTGAAGAGAGCTGAAGAAAAAAGGGCAGCATGGGAAGGAGGCAAGATGCGCTCAAGAAGGCTGCCCCAGTCGAGGAGACCCTGCGACCAAGCCCTTAGCTGGAAAATGGGACAGACTTTAGGACCATAGTGCCCTGCTTTCACATAGAAGAAGAGTTTGTAAATACAGAGATCCTGTGGGAGGAGGGGGGGAGAGAGAGAGAGAGAGAGAGAGAGAGAATATCTCCTGGGAGGAGTTAAGATTTAGGACTCTGAATTGAAAACACAGACTTACAGGGGAGGTGGGCGGGAAGGGATTAATGTGTATTAGACACCCACCCACAAAGGCTGGGGGCGGTGAGTAGGAGCTTTCTGTGAGAGTGAAACAGATACAAGGAGGCCCCTGAGAGAAATGGGGGTGGGAATGTGTGTGTGCCAGAACCCTCTGTATGGATGCTGATCCTGGGTGTGGGCACAGGTACAGGGAGGAGGCAGTGCTGGTATCTGTGGGTGTGTTTGGATGTTCTGGTAATGGATGTGTACGTGCCAGCACTGGATGTGTGGCTTTGAGTGTATGTGGTCTGTGTGTATGTGTCTGACCAGCTAAGAGTATGTGTAAGAAGGCAGATAATCACAGGCTAACATCCAGAGAAAAGAGGAAGGGTAAGGGGAGCCTAGAGAATGGAGGAAGAGAACTGGTGTTGGGAGAGGGAAAGAGACTGAGCCTGCAAATGAGGAATCCTTGGGGCGGGGGAGGGGCACAGGGAGCACACAGAGTCCACGAAGAGAAGGCTGCAGCCTCAGCTCAGTGGTTACCATCGCAACCTCAGTTCTGGGTGCCCCCCCCCATTCAGTTGTCAGGACAATGACACCACTGGATAGGAGGGATGTGGGGAGTGGGGAGTAAGAACAGAGAGAAGGGATAGGAGAAGGGCCCGGTAAGGGTGCAGGGAAAGGCAGCCTAGTGTCCTGCCTCCCTGGAGAGATCCCATTTGCCCAGGCCTGGGTGTGGCAGCAGGGGCAAGGGCAGGGGAGTTTGGGGGAAATTTCCTTACTTGGTTCTCAAGCTTTCCTGGTCAACCATTGTCCAGTTGTAGTCTGGCCATGGTAGGTGGGGCTTGGCAGAAGCTTGGCTCCTTCACCCTCCATGTTGCTTTTCTCACCCAAGATTTAGAATTCCATAGGGCCTATAGAGAAGTCTCCTGCCCTCATAGCTCTGAAGAGTCCTCCTGACCTCTGGAACAGTGCAGAGGCTGCCCAGGGAACACCAGGCAGCCTGGGCGGAGGCCACTCTTGGGACAGGATACTTGGGCAGGAACCGGGAACCGGGGCTGAGGCTGCCAGGAAGTCAGTCCCCTTCCCTCCCAGATCATTCTGTGCTCTGCTCCCCGCTTCCTCACACCTTCCTTCCTTCCTTCCTCACTCTCTTTCTGAGCTGGCCCCAGGTGGGGCTCTGACAAAAGTCAAACCAACTGAGGATGCTGAGGAAGAGGGGCAGGAGGTAAGGATTATATTCTGACCTTCTAGGGGAGTAGTTGGGAGCATGACAGGTGGGTGCTCCACGGGCACCGGGGGAGGAAGGGGCGGGCCCTGGGAACACTTTGAGAGCCTAGCAAAATGGGATGACCACCTGTGGAGGAGGTGGTAGCACCAAAAGAATTTCTGTGCATTTGGACATTAATTTATGATTATCCTCTCCCTAGCATTTGGTTCCAAATCCTCAGTAAATTTAAGAAGCCTGAGGATTAGGAGGTGCTATTGCTCCCTCCCTCACATCGGCTGCAGCTGCCTAAGGCTGAGGGGAACTGTAAGGACCTGGAGATCCTGCAGTGGGCAGGAGGCGGCCTGTAGGCACTCAAGTCTGTCAGTCTTGTTGCCTGGGGTTTGGGGTGGGAGGGTGGTGATCACAGCAAAGCAGAGGGCTGGGAAGGGAGAGAGCAGGGTTCCTACTTTAAATTTTATCTGGGCCCCAAATTCAAGCAGTCCTATAGTTTGTCCCTAATTATTTCTTTACTATCATACTCAACTGACTTCTTCCCATAGCTTCTATTCAGCTTTTTGGGGGGAGGGTGGGGGGAGGATGCCTTTATTTCTGTAAAGTAGGAAGAAGAGGGTTCTAAGGCTCCAGAGTCAGCCTGGGAATGAGGGGGTGGGATAGGACACCTGGACCTCAAAACGTTCAGTCCAAGAAGCAAAATGGGTTACCCCTGGCTACAAAGACAGGGTTAAGCTTTTGCCCTTAGTCAAGAGAAGAAGGATTGGACCCAGGATGAGAGCATCAGAAGATACCTGGCATTGGATCAGGCCGGGCAGAGGAGAGGGAATGGGGCCTCTACTGCTCTCTACTCATCTGATTCTCTCTCTTCCTCCTTCTGTTTCTCCCCCATCTCTCTATCTCTTCCTCATCTATTACCTCTCTCTCTAGTCTTTCAGTCTCTCTTTTCCTCCTTTCCTTTCAATGGGCTTTCATCCCATCCCACCTGGTGGTAGCCAAGAATACTTAGGGCTCCTGGGTTCTGTGACTTGGTGTCCCTATTTCAGGACTCAGAGCTACTATACCAGCTATACTAGGAAGGAGTGAGTGTCCCTGCTATAAAGAGATAGAGTAAGTTTAGCGGGGAGGGGCCTGGATTGGTTGGCTGTGTACAGGTTGGTGATGTCCACCATTGCACTGTGGGGGAGGCTCTGTGTGAAAGAGTGAGGGGATGGCATAGCAGGGTGTGACTCTGGTCCTCTTCTTCATGCATGACAACACACGCACACATGATGGGCACAGGTGTCAGGGAAGTGAGGAAGTAGGCAACCAGGGCAGCTGGCAGCCTAGGGCATCTCTGGCAATTTCCCCAATGGAGTGTTTAACCACAAAGGGAAGAGCAATTAAAGCTAATCGCTCTGACAGCCTGGAGGCCAGACACATAGGGAAACAAAACACACATATTCAGCATGTTTCCCCTAACTCCCAGTGGTCTCACCACCATCCTGCTTTCATCCTCCCTAATTTCTGAGCCTCTGTCGTCCATTCCCCAGCACTCTGCCCACTCATTTGACCATCTCTGACTCTCACTTCCTTCCCCTCCCCATTCCCTGACTGTATCTCTGTCCCTCTGTGTCCCTCTCTTGATGTCTGTCTGCCTCTCACACACATTCCCCTCATTCTCTCTCTCTGACTTGGGCCTCCATCCTTGGCTGACTCATACTCATTCTTTCTTTTTCTCTCTCTCCCTTTCTTCCATCCCCCCTCCATCCCTTGGCCACTCAGATGCCCAGAAGCCAGCCACTCCTAGCACCCTAAGCTCCAACTGGACCCAGCAAGAGAGGCCACCAGCAGCCCCTACCCTCACTACTCACCCGGATTCAAAGCACCAGGCTCACTCGCCCTCAAGATCCTGTCTCCCGGTCCTGGATTGAGACCAGGATTTTCTACCATGTTTTCTCACTGTTTTAAAGAGGGGCGATCTGAAGCCCAGGGCTGGGAGAAGAGGTCCAGAAAATTAGGGTGGACTTGGGGACGGTGGCCCCCACTCAGCTGTCCTGTTAGACTGATATTCTGCCAGGAGACTTGCACATGGGAGACAGTGGGAGTGAGGTGGGAGCTTGGATGCGTAGCGCAGGGCCCTTTGTGATTTGCTGTGTGCAGTCGATGTGTGTAAGAGTCACATGGGTGTGTGTCACCGTGTGTGCTGGCGTGTCTCTTGTAGGTGTGTGTGTCCCTGTCAGTTTTGATACAGATTATATGAAATTAATTAGGGGCTTTACGTTAGCTACTTCTCTCCTGTACACCCCCCAGCTCCCGACTCCTTCCCTCCGGACAAGCCTTCGACAATCCCACCTCTATCTACCCCAGGTGCAGAGGACTGGGTGAGGGCACGTGGTGCCAGCTGCCGGGTTTGAGCCCTCGGAGCAGGGGCGGCTGCCGGCGGAACTGAGGCAGGGCTGGGCCGGGAGACCGCCAGCCCAGGCGAGTCCGAAGCCAGAGAACGGGAGGGAGGGGCGGGAGCTGGCCCGGCCGAGCCGGCTGGGCGGGAAGCAGGCTCCATCCTAATCCCCAGGCCCCGGTCCGACTCCCAAACTGCTGGTCAGAGTGGAACGGGCGGCCGGAGCCACGCCGCTTCCAGCACACACCGCGCTCGGAGCGCACCGACAGAGACGGAGCCCGTGGGGCCTGACACGGAGCGGACCCCTCCGGGGCCCCCACGCTCCGCATCTGTCCCCAGGCGTCCCGGATCGACGCCCCTCCAAGCCCAGATCCTCAAATCTGCCCCTCCCCGCGACACTTCCCCTCTCGGCCCTCTCACCGCCTCCGGGGCTGAGCGCTCGGGGAGCGGGCACTCCGGCGTCCCCGGTTCCTGAGCAGCGTCCGGAACCTCCTCCTCGGCTCCCGCCGCCGCCGCCGCCGCCGCCGCCGCTTCTGCTGCCGCCGCCGCCTCTTCCGCCCGCGGAGCCGGAGCCCGAGCCCAGCGCCGCCTCACCCCACCCGGCTGGCCCGTGATGTCAGAGCCGGGGAGGGGCGGGGGGCGGGGAGCGGCGGGAGAGGGGGTGGGGAGGCAGCAGGGGGCTGGGGTTCTGGAAGACTCCTGGGACGGGGGCAGAAGTGCGGGAGGGCTGGAGTAGCGACGACGCCTCCTCCCCTAAACAGCGAGCCCCAATTCTCAGATTTAATTCTTCCCAAAGGGACACACTCCTTCCCTTACGACCTTTCGGTGACCACAGTGGCTGGGACCCTGGGAGGCAAAGAGTAAGTTAGGGTTTAAGGGTTTGGAAGTCCTTTGGCCTCTGGATCCTCTTAGATGCTTGACTCAGTATTTGTAAAAACCTTTTCCCCTTATGGGTCAGGGGAGCCGTAGTAAAAGACAGCTCAGATTTATCCACCTTGGAAGGTGGGGGAGGAGGAAGGAGTAGGGGCAAGAAGCAAAATGGGGGCCCCCTTCGCCTGCTCTGGAGCCACAGATCTTCCTTCTCCAGGATGATGCCAGCTGGCCCCTTGTGTTCCTCTCACCTTTCCCAAATATACCACCCTCCCGCCTTCCCCCCACCATGATGTAATTGTATTTCTGGGGAGAAAAAGAGCAGCAGTGAGCTCAGCATGCAAATATAGACAACTTGCAGAGCCACGCTCGCTCGGCTCTGTCTCCTAGCTCTGCCCCTCTGCCCAGGCCCAGCATGGCAGCTCTCACTTCCCTTCTACCCCAGGGACTTTCCTCCCCCAGATCCTTAGCCATACTGAAAGAGGGAAGGAAGAAGATGATCTGTTATCATCTCCAGCCTAAGAGGTCTCTCCTCAACTCCGGCAGAGCGTGGCCCGGGGACAAGGTCTGAGCCCCATCAGTGTCTGTGCCACCTCCAGGAGCGCCCCGGCTTCACTTCAGTTCCAGCCTGGCAGAGACCCCTCAGGAAGCCTCAGGTGAGCCCATCCTTTCTTGAGTCTACACTGCCCCTAGAAGAGGCTCAGGCTGCTGCTGCTTTGGATTTCACAGCCCTTCTCTTTGCTTTCGCCATCCTCTTCCCCCAGTGTGCCATGTCACTGCCCCTTTGATAGCAACACACCCTCATAATTTGCCTTTGCATATATCTCATTTGTTCTGAGTTGTAGGGCCAAAACTCATTTTGTTGACCCATCTTTGAGACTCAGGGAAGCTGAATGACTTATCTACAGTCAGTGAAAGGTCCAGGTCTTTCAGGTACAGGGGGTTTGGGCTTCATGCTGACTCTGCTCCTTTCTTAGGTAGGTTATGCCTCTGAGCCTCATTAAGGGCAAGACGGGGACACTGATGCCTATCTCACAGTGTTCTTCTGAGTTTTAGAAATTGTAAGTCTCTAGTGACTGGCACAGATGGGTGGTTAAAACATGGGAGCTATTATTTAGTCTGGGGCCTTCCACTGACCTATGCTAGAGAGTTAAGTTCCATAATATTTTTGTATTGGCCCAGTGCCCGTACTATGTATTAAACATTTATTAAATGGGTGCAAGTTGGATGAATACGTGGTTTCTACTCTATACTCCTGCCACCAATTCCAGGAAGACTTCCTGGATTTGTCTGTGGAGGGTGAAAACTCCTCTCACCTCAGGTCTCATTCTTCCATACTCAGAGATCCTCTAAGTTGTCCAGCAACACTTTTATACCCAGTCCATGAAAGCTGTAACATCTGTTAGTTATGGGCTTGTTCAGTTGTTTGGTTCCCCCCCCCCCCTACTCCTTACTCCTTTACACTTACCCCAGCCTGGGCCTGTGCTGGAGAGAATGTGGGTCCTTCCTGCCAAGATCGCCAGCAGGCTCAGGTCTGGGGACCTTTGAACAAAGCTCAGCGTCTCCTCTGCACTCCCATAACCACCACTCTGATCCGTGTTCTCCTACCTCCATCAGATTATTATAACTGTCTGATAAGAGTTGGACTCCCTGCCTCTGGTATCTCCATCGGCTTCCTTCTCTCTATCTATCCTGCTCATCACTGCCAGATTAAATGTTGCCCTTCCTCCCCAGCTCACAGGACTAAATCCAAACACCTCTGCGACCTAGCCCCGGATGCCCACCCAACCTCGTGGCCACCACTTGAACCTCTCTTCTTGTCTCCTTGGTCTCCTCTGTGCCCCAACATGGCACACGCATTCTGGCAGTGCTTTTGATGTTTTCACTACTTGAAATGTCTCCTCCCCAACTCCTTTGCCCTAATCAAATCCCACTATTCATTTAAGGCCTAGAAAATGCTCACTTCCTTTATGAAGCCGTCAAAGCCCACTCTCATCTCTCTCTTCTGAGGCCATTGTATTCATTTGTTCCTTCTTTTAACAAACATTTATTAGGGACTACATTTGGTGTGCCAGGCCCTGTGGACACAGAGAAAAAGCCTGGGGTCCTGCCTTCAAGGGGCTCACAGTCTGGTGGGGAAGACAGACATGTAAATGAAGAGCTAGTACTAGAATAGAGGTGGACAGAGAGAGTGCAGTGGGAGCCCAGAGGGGGGAGCTGCAGGAGGGGCCACCTTTGGGAAGGCCGCACCGAGGAAGTGTTTTTGGGGCTCAGTCTTGCCATTCAAATAAGAGCTGCAAGGGGGGGTGCTATCAAGCAGCACATAATCGCTTAATTACATATTGCTTTGTATTTTTCTTCAGTTCTTCAGTGTGCTTGTCTTGACTTCCCAGTGAGGCTAATCAGCTCGAGAGCAGGGACAGGCCCAGCACTCTCTGTTCTCCCAAAGCCTGACAGCAGTGCTGGACAAACACCATGTGTTCAGAAAAGCCTTTTTGACTTGCAGCAGATAAATAATCGAAGCTTCTCTGGGATAACTGCCTAGAGGGAGGAGCCCCACCCCCCTGCTATCACAGTCCCCTAACAAGGTACCCACACCTTAAATCCCCATCC